TGGTTGAGGTAGTCTGTTGTATTGTCCATACTTTTTGGTGATTCTTATTTTTCTTTTCATACATTGTATTATATATTTTTCGGTATAATTCAGATATGGCAAATGTAAATGTACCCCCGATTTACTGTATCCAAAATACGGGGTAAAGAGTACATTTCTGTTTGTAAATTATATCGGTAAATAAATAAATAAAAACTCGTTAAAACTCACCATAAGAACGAGTGGCAAAAGAAAAACCTTTAAGGATGTTCGCTCTTCTTGTTTTTGAATTTTACCAGATATTCGTAATCCTTTGGTTTTATACATGTAGTGCCATTAAAAAAATTTGCCCGCAAACCCCTTCTTTTCTTTTCATAATTTTATTATGTATAGTTTAAAAAGCAAGTTTGGAAAATCTTATAAAATCCTTGTTATTTTTTCATAGTTTTTGGGAGAAAAAAGGTGCCAATGTTAAATGTATGAAAATTCTGGAGAGAATCACTTCCCGCCAAATTTTCAATGACTTATATCTCGAAAACAAGCACACGGACCCTTCATTTTTTTCTGCTTTTTTAGTTCCTTTATTCATATACTTTCTATTTATAACAATCTTTTAAAAAGCTTGTTATTTTGAAACAGAGTAGCGAACATCCTTAAATAGAGCTGTAGTGTATATTTGTTGGGAAATTTCAGATTAGTTTCCAGTTTGGAAGTATGCACAGATCAATTCACAAACATGTTGGGTGAAAGCCACTGTCCAGATGCCATAATTAAAGCTGGCCTCCAGTCTTCGACAGCAAAACAGTGGATTCAAGATAATTACCCAACAGTCAACCTAGATGAATGTTTCAAAGTGTATCAACCAGGTCAATCTGGTGGTGATTCAGAATGTAAAGATTTTATATACATCTCTAAACATACACAAGATGCAATGGGAATAATGTATCTTAACAATATTACGGTCGTGAGCCAGACTGTATACTGCAAGTATGTTAAGAATATTATATTTGTTGTGAATACAAGTTGTTATTTTGTAATAATTTGTTGTACAAGTTATCCTTTTTTTTTTGCTTACCTCTTAATATAATGGTACGAATCAAGTTAAGGGAAGGGTTGGCGCCTTCAAACTAGTTTAACCCCTCCACATTATGTATGTGCCTGTCCCAAGTCAGGAGCCTGAAATTTAGTGGTGTTTGTTTGCTGCTGTATATCATATTTGTTTTAATTTTCGTTCATTATTTTGTACATAAATCAGGCCGTTAATTTTCTCGTTTGAATTGTTTTACATTTGTCATTTCGGGGCCTTTTATAGCTGACTATTGTTATTGGTTTTACTCATTGTTGAAGGCCGTACGGTGACCTATAGTTGTTACTTTCTGTGTCATTTGGTCTCTTGTGGAGAGTTGTCTCATTGGCAATCATACCACATCTTCTTATTTTTATATATAAGATAAGAGATGGTTGAAAATTGCACAACTAACCACCAGAGACGAACGGAGGATCTAGTCTCTTTGAATCAGCTCATAACTGTCTTATTTGCATAACTAAATGATATTACCTTAGACATAGAACTGCTACCAAGTTCTTATTAGGACATTATAGAATGTATTTTTGGAACTTTAGAAACCGGTATAGATGAATTACAAGTTTACCTCATCTGTCGTTTTATTCCAAAGAGAACCGCTCATAATGTCAGTTTGAAGTATATAACTGTGAATAAACTTCTAGCTGGTTAATTATAAAAGTAAAATTTGTATCGCAAAGTTATCATATATAATAATATACATGTAATAGTAAATTATACAAAAAGCGACAGAAAGTCACTATGCGCGCGTTGGACAATCGTTTTGTACATAGTTTTCCTCTTCAGGTTTTGCCATACTCGCAATAACGCCTAAATTTTTTAAAGATGCATTTTATGAACTATGGAAGTTTGATAATTAATATGTTCTCGTCATAAGTCTGAGATTGGACAATAAAAACTCGAGTTCAACATGAACGTTGAAATAGCAATACATATTGTTTTTGTTTTCCGACCACAATCCGAATTTTACAATTGTTTGTCCGGTTTATATATATTTTTTTACATTCAACATATAGCTTGGCTACCATATTAAGATTTGTATTTATTGTTATATACATATAAATCCTCCGTATTCATGAACCTGTAATATTGTGTTTAGAAATAAAGTTACAACTATAAATATATATATATATATAAAAAAAAAACCAATTTATCAATACATTAAGAATTACTGTTGTTTAAATATCAGACGAATTCAGAAGAAAAAAAAAATAATTTGAACATTTGGAAATACGTATTTCGATTAAAATATTATATGTTCTATAGTTTGAAATAATAGACAAAACCATTGACAAAATCAAAAAAACACATTTATCGTTATAAAAAATTGAATAACAGTTAAAGTTTTAAGAGCCAGCCTCAGAGGAATAAAAGGTATGTGATATATGGTTCAAATATGCCATTGACATTTGTTTTTTGAATTGTTCAAAATTAAAATGTTGCAGTATGGTGGAAAGTTTTTTCAATCTTTGTCATGCAGCCCATTTAGAAAATAAAAATTTGGTTTTTGTGAAATCTGAGTGACTTGATAAGGGGGTTCATTATGCTAGATCTGTATTTCAGAAATTTTTACTATGCAATGCACATGCTTCAGCACGAAATGGACAAGCTTGGTCACGTGTGCACTGTGCCAGAACTGCAGCCGGAATTTTCTAAAATACTGGGTTACCAAGGAGTTAAACCGTCCACGCTATCGGCATGTCAAGGTCTGTAACATAAGGATTTTCTGCTTTTTTCACTGGACATTAGGGAAACAAAAATCTTTCTGCGTCATGATGTACATGTAGTATTTTAATTCACAAATTATACGACGATCTATTTAGATTGTTGGGTTTTTTTGTCGACGCATTTTTTCAACTCCTGCTAGTTTAATTAGACAATCACAAAAGTCCCAAACAATTTCTTAAAGGTTGTGCCAATGTACTATATATATATATATATATTATTTTCATCTTTTTGAAAAGCTAAGAAATGGAAATACCTTTATCTGAATCTGAGACGTTACTATAAACATGTATGCACCAACAAAATACACATGCAAACTTGTTTTGTTCTATGTGTATACACGTACTTGTCTTATACTGAAAATATTACGTGTAAAAAATGCAACTAATAATACGTATCCTTTTAAGGTTATTTCTTGGTTATATTTCCCTGGTTACAAAGTAGCTTTAATATTCTTCCTTGTTTATTATCTCTTCTATTTCGGTAAGTGTCAAATCATTTCACCACAATATCAACTGAAGATGTGCACTGATATTGACTCGACATTAAATATTTTTGTAGGTCAAATGCAGAAAACGACCACCGACTTCTGCCAGGATGAAGCTGGAGTACTACAAGTCATGGCACATGAGCCTTATTGCAGACCATACCTCGAAAATATGAAAGATCCTAAAAATGATAAGTGCATGATGGCGAGACAGTTTTCACTCTGCTCGGAAACAAGATTACAATACGCTGGTTTTGACTGCAGTAAAGTGATACTTAACAGTACTAACATTGCCCAATATGTGCAGACCAACTATGGGATTTCACTTTCGTCCTGCTAATGACTGGTACTCAATTTAGATTTAAAATAAATCGAAAAATTCTGGTATATTTTTGTTTTCACTCACAATAATATATACTATATATTTGTTTTATCATTGAGTCATAAAGACAAAATATTTTTTGAGACCTGATATCATATACCAAAAGCGTTATTAAGACTAGCAGTTGCAAAATCATAAAAGCAAAAGCAAATAACAAAAATAAAAACAATAGTAGAATATTGTAGTCTGATTTTACGGAATTTTAGAACAATCCACATCTTTGTATTCATAAAACTAAACAGACATTTTATCACAGAGTTGATTCATTTATTTAGGTCTTGCAATAAAAAAAAATGTAAGTGTGTACGACCTGAGGTATTAATATCAGAATAATGATTGGATTTTCCCTCTAAAGAATGTAGATATTTCTACATATGCGGAATATGGTCAACGCAAATTCTCCTACATCAGAACACATGAAAACTAGGAAGTTCATACAGTATGTCAGTTATTCGTCGCCGCCAACTATCTTTTTTTTTTATCATAATGCTTCCTCTGATTCCAGAAATGAACTATGTGTTTGAGAAATAAAGGTTCAGTGTATTTTTTAATTACATACTGTTGACATTGAAGTTACATTTTGTATTTTGATCCAAATCTATTTTAGAATCCATAAAAATATGAATTCTACCACTTTTACATTTCTGGAAGTTTATCAATGAAAAACTCCAAATCCAACAGTTTGCAGTGGAATGGAATGAATCTGATCAGAATTACTTCATATGTGTATTACATGGAGTTGTGAACATCCTGGTTTTGTTTTGGGTAATCCTGCTTTTTGTTAGGTGCATTTGGCATTTCAGAACTTACAGAAAGTGACGAATGGGACACTTTCTTTAGTTATACACAAACTTTAAATCAAACTTCCCTCTTTAAAACATTATGAAATTCTAAAACCATTGATCCTAATTCAGCTGTTTTAATGTTTAATCCTTTATGGGACTCTAATCAAAAACCATAAACGAACGTTCCAATGATGAATCATGTGCAAGGGTATTTTCTGACACGAGCAACATGACGGGTGCCATTAATGAAAAAGGAACTGCTTATTAATGCCTTTCCTGAGAAACTGTTGTCTCGCCTGAGAAAAAAAAACGTTGTTGGAGGGACACTTATGCATATTGTTAATGGTGTTGCTTACGTCAACAAATTGTTCAAGTTTATGATGATGATAAGGTCACTTAGATCAACTCATCACTATTTCAAAAGGAGTTATCCACCTATATATTCCTATTTTTTTCCGGTAACATCTACAGTGAAATGATAGTGTAATTCAAAGCAAAACATAATTTTAATCAGTACAAAAAATGTTAAATAATTTACTAATAAAATCTATTTGAATTTAAATAAATATTTAATAAATATGTAAGTTATTGGAATCGATTTATTACATGCATTTTGCTAACTTATTCATCCTCCTTTTCTAATACAAAATACATGTGGTATTCTTCTTTTGGATTTTTCTCTCTTTGTTTTGGTGTACTTGCTATTTCTTCCGGCGTAATATATTCTCCTTCTGTCTTTAATTTGGCGTAAGACTGGCCATTCTCATCAGTTTGTAGATCTAGATACCCAAAGTTTGTAACGGCTTTATCATTGTCATTTATTCGGTTATCCTCTGGTAAACTCGATGTTGGAGATAGATAATAATGATTTCCAGTTTTAAATTTCTCCTCACTTGGAGCACTCGGTAGTTTCCTTGATATGCGCGATTCGTCCACACCATGTTCCTTCTTTTTCTTTGGTGAATTTATTGAAGGGACCATCTACAATATCAACGAAGGCCGAGTATAAAAATATGGAAATTGTACATAAATGATAAAACTTATTTATATAACATTACAGCTTGAATCGATTGTTACATGATACCGTTCTCAAATCCTTGCTAAAATATGAATTATACTGAAATATCATTAATGCTATTACGTTGATTTTGATTAAGATCCATTCGTGACAGTTGAAACTTTACCGAGACTTGTCGAAATTTGTAGGATGAATAGATATTGTGATCCGATGGGTAAATAAAGAAGACGAAAAACCAATGCTGCATTCAAAACCCATGAGTAAAATAAAAACCAGACAACGCCACGGCAAAAATAAGAAAAGACAAACAGACTAACTACACCCCAAAACACTACACAGTGGTATAAAGTGCATCACCACTATTTGGTGTTGTAAAAGAAAGGATTAGCATAAAAAATCAAAGTACTGAAGTACTTGAACATCGGATGACCGCAAGTTCTGGTTGATGGTCACAAGCACTTATCTCAGAAAAAAAATCACATCTCTATACCTGAAAGTTAGGTTAAGGTACATACTATGAGATATATTTTTTTCTGAGACAAGTTGTGTGGATGATGTATAAATGACAAGGAATTTAACCTCACCGTAATCATTATTATATTGAAGTGATATAATAATTTGTTATCAGTATACTCTGGTTTGTTGTTTATATATATAATATTAATATTTGTATAACAGTTATATATCATTTTCATCCATTTGTATATCATTCTATTCTACTATTCACTTCCTTTTTCACCACGAATATGACATACCGAATTAGACTATTTACCAGATTTGTAATAACATAAGCAACACGACGGGTGCCACATGTGGAGCAGGATCTGCTTACCCTTCCGGAGCACCTGGGATCACCCCCAGTTTTTGGTGGGGTTCGTGTTGCTAAGTCTTTAGTTTTCTATGTTGTGTCTTGTGTTCTATAATTTGTCTGTTTGTCTTTTCATTTTTTAGCCATGGCGTTGTCAGTTTATTTTCGATCTATGAGTTTGACTGTCCCTCTGGTATCTTTCGCCCCTCTCTTCTAATGATAGTGCAATGCAAGTGCATGGTGGACACTTTTCTGTAATAATTCGTTTTTCGAATAGATTGGATTTGAGTAGCATTCATAATTCCCGCGTTTATTGCAAAACGTTCTTGAGATATTATTCCGCATGCGTTACAATGTAACACAAATTTTCGGTGTTTTTTATTTGTTATTGATATAAATATTTCTCGCGACAAAACATTTTCATATCATTTATCTATGTTCTTAAAAATTATTTTCATGAATATTTATTGATAAAATTAATATATAACAAGCGATAAGGAATGTCATTTTGCACTCGATAATATCCGCGTAATTATACGAAATACGTTCGGTTATCAGTCAAAAACGAATGTCACGTGGGTAAAAATGTCTGTGGCAACATTACACCGGAATGCCCTCACGGTCATTCGCTGTAAAAAAAGTGAACATTTTCCCACTGTATTTGTACGTGTATCCTACTTTATCGGTCACAAACTTACTTTATCTTCGTCTATTTCTTCATATACACTAGACCTCCGTCGGTTGTGCGAAACTGACTTATACCTCAGAGATTGGTCGGATTCGAAACTTGTTTCTTGACTGTTAGAATTACGTTTTCTGCAACAAAACAGTATGAAATCAAAGCATAACATTGATTGACGATACTCGTCTGTGAATCTTGACTTTTGTAACTTTTTTCAATGCATATAATAGTCTTAACTTTATCAATACGACACATTAAGGACAAAAATAAGCGTTTCAGGGTCTGAAATGTAATTTATCTTTCCACGAAAACTAAAATAAAATCACGATCACTTTTGAATGGGCTTTTTGGCTTTTCTCGTTAAGTTTTATATATTTTATTTATCCAACGACTTTGTAGAATTAACAGTAACAATGTCTTAAAAAAGAAAATCAAACAATCAAAATAATTGATAAACTTTATAATGGATATCACTTATAGTTAAGGGAATGGAAGTTGTCTTTTCTTTCTCTAGAAAATCAGATAAAAAGGTCTTAAATAAAGAAAACGTTATAACATAATATACGTAAGAATTCCGAGAAAAAAACCGACATAATGTGTACATGTGAATTACTTTACAATGGGACTTATCATGCGATAGGGCCGATGTAAATTTTTACATTTGAGCTATATTTTATGGTAAACTCGCGCAAATGATAAACATGCTATTTTGACGGATTTGATCATTTGTCCTATTTTGATTTCCAAAACAGGAATAAATATAAATGTTATACAATAAACCAGATAAATGAATATTGAACCTACTTGATTTTGCATTGTTTTCTACAATATATCGCAATAATCATGACTATGGACAATATTATCAACCCAGCAATAGCACCTCCTACAAACGGTAATAGTGATCCCGGGATTGGACCGAATCCTCTACTTTTAAGATTGTTGTGGTTTGTTGGTGTAGTAGGTTTTCCATTTCGGGGGACAGTAGAAATATTTGGATCTGAAAAACATAAATAGATGCTTGTAACTCATAGGTGTACTACACTTTTTCTACAATCGATTGAAAATATACAGGATGCAAAAATATCAAACCATAGCTGAAGTTTACTTATCGCAAAAAGTCTCATTTCAGATCTTTTCGATCAGATGGTGTTTTTTGTTGTTGTTGTAGTTCAAAAATATTTAATATTTAAACTGTTATTTTTATACTTACCCATTTATATTAAATGCGCATCACGTCCGGTCGAAATAGCGACTTTAAATCAGATATCCGTGTTGAGACAGCACCTGTTGCCTCTTCTGTTGCAAGGCCAAATATCTGTCTCTAGTTAATATGCTCTCTTTTTACAGTAGATGGTCTAGTTTCCCACCCTTCATCCCTGTAGACCAGCTTTGCAGTTCCTTTTTATTTAATACATTGTCTAATTTGTACTCGTTCTGAACATGTACGAAATATTTGTCACTGAACGCTAAGCAATTAACAATCAATCAACCTTACGGTTGTTATTTACCTACTACTGTTTGCCAGTCTACAGGGTTCCTTAGAAAATTGTTGATTATTTATTCATTTTATTTACTTACTTATTTACCTGTATCATCCATTTATTTATTCATTTTTAGCATTATATACATAGTACATTATATGTACAAATGGACGATTAGCAATCATCAGGCAATATTATGTATATACATTTGGAAACCAATAACTTAAAAAGGATACTTTTTTGTTACTAATTTATTAAGAAAATGCACGTTTACTGCTGTTCTCCATCTTGAAAATGTTTAACACTTTGTTTTTAGAGATTTTTCTATATTGACTGTAATGTTGTTTTTTTTTTTGTTTTTTTTTTGTAACTCGTGGAAATATCTATTTTGTAGTTTCGAAGTATGAAACAATTGAACTGATGGATTTTGTCGGTATAGTACTGAACAATCCAATAAAAGGGAAATAAATCCAGCAAGATAATTATTATATCCACAATTTTTATTTTGTTACCTCCCCTTACATGTTTCATAAGACTAAAGTACAGTTACTTTATATACCTTTAGGACAAATGCTCTGATAAAACTGTTTGACTTTTCCCATCTGTGGTTGCATTTTTCTGTTCATTAAAGAAGTTACTGATTTACAACTACGTCTGTCCAGCTCTCTTTCTATACAATGCATGGAATCGTCTATATCTCTGCAAAATTTTAATATCGTAGAAAAATGAAAAAAAATTATAAACCATTATATTATTTCTCTTGAAAATATAGTCTAATGTTAAGAAAACCCCACACTTATAATAATATTAATTAGAAGTTGTAAAATATGCATCTGTATATGTAAAAACATGTTGTACAGTAACTAATAGTTACTTCTTATACTGGTTAAAGTAAACAATTATTTTATGGACCTTGGACCATTATACTAGTACTAGAACACACCCGACATCGCGGGACCGTGACTGAATAAAAGTGACTATGCCTTATTTTTAGCCTGGATATTCAGTTTTCTTATTGTCATTTGATAAAGTCATGTTGATAATAAGGTGCACAGTTTTCTCTGCTTTCAAAATCTTTCTGTTTGAACCCGTCCTGGTTTTCTCACTACATTATAGTAGTGGTACTCCAAATAGTGGAGGGAAGAATAAAGAACAAAATCTACAACCGGAAACTACCTGTGGTATATTCTATTGGAATCGGTATCGGATTCGACCCGGAACTTGTTAATTATTGGTAATATTAATTATGTGGAAAACAAAAGGGTCTGGAATGGTGTAATTTTTAATCAACACCATTGTCCTATATTAGTTATCTTTGGTTCGCCGTTTTTACGTCATGCCGGCTTACAAATTGGACCTCGTTATTTTAGTAGTATAGATAAAAGTCCCAGTATAGACTAATAATAATAAAAATAATGTTAACAATGCTACATGTACATGTTATATTTGTATTATAAATGATAGTAGTAGTAGGAAAAGAAGAAGAGACAAATGATTGATTGTTGATTGCTTGACGTCCAGTGACAAATAGTTCAGGACGACAGAAGAGACAGAAGTCACAATTGAGGCACAATGTGCAAAAGTGTTGACTGTTCTTACTGTTGTGGATGTGTATACCATTTCTTAAAGATAAAAAAACAGATGGAAAAAAGAACCAAAATTTGATATGATTTAAAATAACTTACTGGCAAAGATGGAGTCTCTCAGCAGGACTGAAGTGATGTCTTCCTCGGTGGAACAATGTTTCATCCAGATATTGTGGAAGATTGTCAAAACAATTCAATGTCCTCATACAGCACCGCAAGCCAACGTTTGCATTACCAAAATCTATGATAAATTTAAGTATAATTACTTATATTCTAAATATGTTGAACTTCAACAGTTGAAGAATTCACATATTAAGAATACATGACTGAAAACTGCAAACAAAATGTTTTTACCTTAGTTTCTAGTTTTCTCGAAATGTTAAAAAGGCTTCAACTTTCTCGAATATTTTCTAAATTTTAATTCTTTTTATTGATGAAAAAAAAGTCATAATGTCTTCAAAATGCTGTCAAAAATATTGCTCGAAAATTCTTTTTCTTTAGTTTAAAAAAATGAGTCATTTATTTGTTTTATTAATTATGAATAAACTGATGGTAGTGTTTTCTTTCTTTTGTTGTGTTGTATTATTATAAATGCACCATGCTACCATAGAAACTTTATAAATATCTAATACTTATATGGTTGTAAGCCACAGTTTGTATTCACCGACATCATAACATATGTAAAAAAAATTCTGTCTATCTTTATATTATATGCAAATAATGATATTTTTCGTTTTCCAACTTACTTTTAATAATGTTTAAATGATGATCCTGAGTTACTTGAATAAATATTAAAATAAGGCGAAGGAGGAGGATTTTTATAAGTATTACAAAATAATACAATATTTCTTAATATATATATAATTATGTAAAAAATAATTGTTTGTTATCTTGGTAATTTGAATGGGTTTTCTTTAAATTATTTCTATTAAAAAGCAATAATTTTTTTCAAACTTTTAAAATTTTATATAACGGTAAAAATAGTAGAGCTCCGGAAGGTTAAGCACATTAAATATCCCGCACATGCAATACACGTGATTAAATAAGGTTATTAAATCAACTTACTCGTCCTAAACCCTGCACAGAATCGTAGTCTTTCTATTTTCCTTTTCCTGACATCTGCTCTTGCAGAAGGGAACATCATTAGATCCATCTGGAGGTTAACTTGGTTAGAGTCAAAAGCTAAAGCAGTTTCATTGTTGTGTACAGAATTGGCTGGTGAAAAGGAATCTATATCATCACGTGGTGCTGGCACGAGCTCTTCATCCTTTTTTTCAAGGTCGGGACCAGGATTCGTGTCATTTTCGTCAGTCCTGTTTTGAATTGGAATTTCAGTGACAGTCGCCGATTCTTCGGAACTGTAGCCACCCGTGGTAAAATGCGGATTATGTCTGGTAACTGTTTTTGTTGTAATTTCTTTTGGTGCAAGGCTTACCGAAACAGGACTAGTACCAGTAGTCGACGATAATGTTGTTCTGTTTAATCCAACTAAATTATGGATTTCTGTTGTTGTTTGAGTTGATGGTGTTCTCGGTTTAAAAGGTCGAAACTGACCACCGTAATCTCTCACCATTTTAGGCGTTAATATTTTCAGGCTTTTATGTTCACTATTGTTTAAAGTCATTGCGCTTGTGTCCACCATTTCATTTTGGATTTGTTTACTACGCATTTCTGGTGGATTTACTAGAGATCCAGAAGTCAAGTGCGAATCTGTTATTCCGAATGACACAGCAGAATCTATGATTGTTCTTCTAGGAAATCCATCACTACCGGAATTTTTTTCAAATTTTGGTCCAAATGTATTCTTTCTCTCCCTTCTTTTCCTGTGCTGTTTATGATTGACCAATGTCAATAAGTTAGAAATAGTTTTTGCATGAATGTCGGAGTTGCTTGTACCCGTCCGAACGTTAATCGATGTATTAGTAACAGTTGTCAATCTTAATTGATCCGACATGTTGATGTTCCGAACTTCCGGAATGGTCGCCACTTTTTGAAACTACCTAGTTGCCGTCTGTGTTGATAGGCGGTTTATATTCAATATTATCCTTCGAGACATAATTATTTATAATCAAAATTGCATATTTAAAACGTATTTGATTTTTAGATATATTGCAAAAGATATATAATAGTCCTCTATATTAAATAATCGACAAAGTGTTTTAGAGTACATACATTTTGTGGATAAAAATTGTCAGTCGTATATTTACATGTCACAGATTTGTCATTATTTTACGCTTGATTTGGCCTGTCAAACTTATTATTTGTATATAAGTACACGTATGTATGTATTATGATAATAAAATGACAAAAAAAGTCGTGAGTTTATATCTATATATATAAAGTTATGACTGCCTTTTGTTTTTTTGGCAAGATATTATTTTGTCTTGATATCTTAAAATTACGACTGAATGAAAATGAAAATTCTATAAATACTATATTGAAGCATGATATTTTTCTCAGAATAATTGCAAAAACTTTTTTTACACTTTTAGAACGACACAATATGATGTGAAAACGGATGTTACATTTTGCATATCCAGGGCGTTATTGCCTATTTCAATGTTAAACTCGCAGGTCTCTTAAAGCTGAAAGGCATGCTATTTCCGCGTGCATTTTTTTTTTATTTGCTTAATTTCAGTCGATTTTGTACCTGTTCCTCCACATCTTTCAAGAATAAAACAAAAACTGATTATAATATTATTGTCAATTTCAAGTGCGATAACTCTGTTTTGGTAGATTTCTAAAATCGTTTATATATACATATCATAAATCTTTTGTTTTGAGTTGAACCAGGATGTATACATTTAATTTTCACTGGATATGTTTTCTCTAGCATTAACGACAAATTTCAACAAAATTTCAACAAAAAAAAACCCTTAAACTTTTTCTTTCACTTGCTGTTCGACCTTGCTAAAGCTTATCCAATACCTATTATATCACAGATATATTTGGCGTTGTTGATCATGAATTCAGTGCACGAATTTAGATTTTGATGGATAATTACGAAACTCAAACGAACAAAGTTTTAATTTGTAGTCGGACATAAGTTCATTGAACTAATAAATTATTCTTTATAAAAAAAATATTATGTAACTAATCATAAATCTTGTGATAACAGATGGTATGAGTGATCTTGGTTACATTTGTGGTCGGACTTGGTAATGTTTATGTTCCAAAAGAAGAATAGAATAGTTTTCCGAAATAAATTCCTATCCCTTTACCTTAACATCAAATGGTGAGTGCTTACTGAAAGTCTAGAATGATTAATAAGAAGGTAGGACCAGTTCCCCATCATTAATTTCACATTAGCAGGACCATTTACGTATAGTACTTACGTCTTGCATTTAATTTCAAATATCACAGATTCATATGACATTGTGAACTTTAAGGTTTTAATAAATTTTGGGTATAATTTTCAAAATTAAAAGTATCAACGGCAAGTTTGCTAAAAATGTGATTGTGATAGACGTCAGCAAATTTTCAGATACTATGGAAAGAAAAACATAAGGGGACGACCATTTGATTTTCCGGTGGGGTGGGGTGAAAATGAATAACTTGGCCTGGTAAGAACTGAAAATACATGACTTTGCACAAGACAGGATGAAAATTAATATTCTGCAACATCATATGCAGGAAAGTTGAGATTACAAATGTTAACCAAAATGAAAATAAGCATGCGTAGCTACAGATGAAAATAAATGACCAATCCGGCAAAAATCCTCGTATCCCCCTACGAAAAACAAATGCTGTCTTTCATATAGTCATTCCAACACAATTTTCAAAAGTTCAAAACGGAATAATGATTTTGACCCTGCAGTTGAAATAAATGCAGGGGGAAATAGGCCCTACCTCTTTAATGGAGTGGAAAATATAATAAATATGTTCAATGTTTTTTAAAGGGAAAACAACGTGAACTGTTCAATCTTTGTTCTTTGACTATGTTTATGTTTCATAGAACTGCCTGCTGTGCATCCGTGAGAACCTTGTAATGATATAAACGTCGTAACGAAATAGACTAGACTAGTGTTCTTGTCACTGATTACCAAGGAAATTAATGTCTTATCTGTTGTAGTCACAATCACATCCTCTTTCCCTTGTTATTGACATACTGTTTATTACGACTTATTACAGGAGTTCTACTAAATAAAATTAACAATGCAACGAGTAAGACTAATGAAGAAGGAATTGCCCCATTTCCGACGTGTCTGATTTCAACAAATCTTTAGTAGGACCATGTTGTTTTGGGTTTTCATGGCTATTGTTTGTCTAGTTGTATATTTTTTTGGCTGTAAAGCTGTTTAAAAACTAATGGTTTGTATTGCCTAATCGCTGTCGTCTTGTTTCTTCTTTTTTCTTTCATTTTCAATCAAGTGTATTATAAAACATCTTGTTTTCCTGTTTGTTCTGTTCTTTTACTTAACGATTGCGTATACATTTGGTTCTGTCTTATGATTAGACAAATGAATTTTACCCATCAGATATAGATGGCGTCCGATCACTGGATCTGACTCATCAAAGAATTTAAACAAGCAAGAACTACTTATCATACCTGAGAACCTGAGTTTACTCCCGGTTTTTGATGGTGTTAGTGTTGCTCGAACTGTACTTTCTCTTTGTAGTGTTTTTACTGTTGTATGTCTTTCTTTGCTTTTTCTTTTGGTCATAGTGTTTTGTTGTTTTGTTTTGTTTTTATTTTGTAATTTTCCAGTTTCATTGGATTAAGAGAGGGTGGTAAAGGGTTATTTTCGTGCAACGTGTTTTGCCATTTTTATTTCACGTGCAGCCGTGAAAAAAGTTCGTTATTTACCGTTTCATGAAATCGGTAAAAAGATCAACGTGCAAGAAATTTTTAATTGTTCGTTCATCGTGAAATGGCAATTTCATTTCGCGTTCTTCCGTGCAGATACCCCCTCTTTACGCCCCTCTTAAAGAGAGGGACGAAAGATACCAGAGGGACAGTCAAACTCATAAGAGGTTAGTCAGTATTTATATTTGTGATGCATCTCACTGTTTTTATTCAACATCTATCAAGAATACAAGGACGAATTATGTTAACAACTCTGGAAACATTATGTAACTTCTGCATCCTACCAGCAGCAAAATGTTGAATGTTTATTCCAAAGTATAGAAGAAGATGCAAAGGTAGATAAAAAATAAGTCGATGAAAAACAGTCAAAACCACTGCAAAACAACACGACGAAAAAAACAAACAACAGTCTCCAAAACACCATACTGAAAACAACAGATTGAGCAACACCAACCCCACCAATAAACACGTGATTCATTAGGGTAAACAGTTCCTTCTAACAGCAACTTGTACTTTGTTGTTTCTCCCTGAATTATGCAGAAGCACCGTGCTCAAACTTTATGCCACTTGTGTACATGCAGAATCGTTTAGTAGCTTATTTGCAACTGTAAATTATTTCTAAATTCCTTCGACAACTACATGTAGTGTTCCAGAAATAATAACAAATCATAATACCATAACAACCAACATATTTTTTTTTCGATTTTTATTGATTTCTTTTCTGTTTCAGTAGTTGGAAAACATATCAATACGCATGCGTATCCTTACAGAACTTTCTATACAGTTACATGTAGGACGTTCAAATTTAACTTCTTGTATAAACCTTGATTTTACTTAAGTACCATCATTGCTACACTTAAAACGAAAAATAGCGATAGTTCCAAGATTATGGATATTATTAAGCTTCTTCATTAGTTATAATATGAACCTGTTTATTACCTTATTTGAAACTGTAAATTATTTCTAAATTCCTACGACAACTACATGTATAGTGTTCCACTAATAATAACAAATCATATCAACATATTATTTTCGATTTTTATTGATTTCTTTTCTGTTACTGTAGTTGGAAGACATTTCACTACGCATGCGTATCCTTACAGAACTTTCTATACAGTTACATGTAGGACGTTCAAATATAACTTCTTGAATATACCTTGATTTTAAGTTTCGTCATTGCTATACTTAAAACGAAAAGCAGTGACGGTTCTAGGAATATGATGGTAGCTTTTTTGTTAGTTAGGGTCCGAACCCCATTGCTTGTAATATTCTGCTCTGAAAATATGTTTAAGTCTTTAAGAGCAGACCTCAACAAAGGCATTTCCAATTTCATTATAGCTGGAAAGTACAAACATGCATTTTAAAAAGTAAAACTTAAAATTTTCAATTAGATTTCATAAACTTTTGTATCTCAGACTAATTCCTTCCTCTTTTATAAATGGTAAAGGCGTTTCGCATCCGGTTCATCAAGGTTGTTGCAATAGTGTTATAAATATGTCATACATTTTTCATAAAGGAAATTAATAGAAATTGATTTCACAACCGATAAAAAAAAATTGACGTTCACAAACAGTTATTAGTAAAAAAATAACGTACTATCAAAACATAAATAAAGGCATAGATTATAATAATACTGCTCGGAGCACTTCAAATGCAGTAATATATTATTCAAAAACGAGTAATTAAACATTTTCGTAAAGTTATAGTATATATCTTTAATAAACTAACCATCGGCTCCATACAAAAAGGAAACCCGCGACAACGCTTAATAAAAAAGCCTTTATGCGCAGGTCTGCAGCTTTTGCTATGCGAATCGTACTCACACAGTTTAGCACCAAGCGAAGGAAATATACAAATATAGAATTTTTTTAAGTGAAAATATCACATTTATATCCAACTTTTAACTAAATGTATCATTATGCGCAACTCCTTTATGCGACTCCAAATCCCGTTCTTCACTTTGTCAATATCGATTTTAGAACATTCATATTTATCACAGAAGTACCTTAAATAACTACTAGTATGTACAACTATAACATAAAGTACGAAGAGACAGTCAAACAAAATAACTTTCAGATTCACTGATCCGGGACTTTGTTAGATTCTTCATTTTCCTTTTCAAGAACAAAGTACATGTGACCTTGCTCATCTGGTTTCTTTTTCTTTATTGGAGTACTTTCTATTTCGTCTGCTTGAATGTACTCGTCTTCCGGTTCCGGTTCAAGTTTAGCATACGACTGTCCACTATCTCCCGATTCAGATTTTAGTTCGATGTATCCATGCGTGGACGTGTTTTCGTCTGCTATATTCGATTTCAGTTCATCTTCCGGCATGATTGACTCTGGTGAAAGGTAGCCATGATTATCAAGCTCTAACTGTCGAATGCTAGGAGCACTTTGATATTTCCTAGAAAAACTGCTTGTGTTCGAATGCGAGAGATTAGTGACGTCTGTGGAACAGGAATGTCCATCAATATTATAACTAACAGACGATATCATCTGAAATATTCAATGAGATTATAAACAGTCATTGTATAATCAAAGATACGAAATTCCAAAAATTAATTTTGTAATAATAATCATAGGTCATTGAGTGACCAAGCATAAATTTGAAAAACAATCAACTTCTGATGACGTATATCGTACAGAAAATATGCGTTTAATTAAAGTTACGTCGAGTTTCTGGAGCCATATGCTTAACAAATTTCAAGAAGGCAGGTGGTTTGACAAATATAAGTGTCAGTGGAAAAATGTCATCAGCTATTCTGACTTGGTAAGATCCCTTCCATGTCGTCAATCTTCAGAAAGATGACGGAAAACCCAACTAATTTATGCTAACGATTTTTGGCGCGACTTTTGCGCGAGAAAAAAAAATAACGCGACCATATGTGCTAATGTCACACATGGATCCCTGTCGTTGCTAATGTCAAACATGGATCTTACATAACAACAATAAAAATAAGAAAATCGCGGAATTAAATTGGCTGAAAGTTGGTTAAAAAAGGGCAAATCGATCCGCGAAGAAAAGTTTGTTTACGATATTTCCTAAAATAACTTGTGTATATTGACATCGACTTGTAATATCCCTTGAAGCTACGTATAATTGTTTTGTAATTGTATTATTTCCACCTTGACTGTACTTACACTTTTCTCATCAATTTCAGCATATACATCTGACTTCCGTCTGTTGTAACTGACAGTTTTATACCTGGACGACTGGGTAGATTCACGTCCTGGGTCATTTCTCTGTTCTTTGTTTCTTTTTCTGTAAACATTTAGAGAACATTAAATAATGTTCATTCACATAATTTTTTTTAACTCACATGCAAAGTGTGTTGAAAATGTTTCATATGAAAAAATCACAGGGAACCAAAGATTATGTAATACGTGTAAAGTTTTCCATGATGGAGCTCGTTTCTTTTTATTTTGCAAAATAAATAATAAATTAAGACTTTAAAAGGTTTTTTAATGACTTAAAACTCAGTGTAAAGATATCACAGACGGTATATCTTAAATCCAACTACTTACAAGCGAGCGAAACCTTTTCGTTACTTTCTATATATAGCAGTCTCTTGATCTGATGAGAGGGGTCACTCGATAACATTTGTTGTAAATTATTTCATGTTATGCTGACGATGTTGTTCTTCTCAATGGTATATATTGTATTTTTTCGTAGTTTATGTTGATATTTTTCATAATCGATAAAAGATAACTTGTGCATTAAATGTAAATAAAAGAAAAAAAAATTAACCAAATCGTACCTTTTATTTACCCGCTTCCTGCAATAGATAGCAAATAGGACGATGATAACCAGAGCAAACACACCCATGATGGCACCTCCAATGTAAGGAGCATAAGAGTTTGTGTGACTGTGATACTGTTCTGATCCTGTTCCTCCAGGCCCAGTAGGTGGGACGTGTGGGTGTGGTTTATGTGAAGGGTATCCTCCTGTAGGTGTTATCGCAGTGCCTTAAAAGGGAATACACATTCAAGTTAAAAACTTTTGTAAAATTTGTTTTAAAAAAATGTTTTAAAAAATCGGCTGGCTAATTCAAATGGTATCTTGAAGCTTTCACGATTACTAGTGTTCGACTGTGCTTTAAGTTTTTAAAGTTGGTGAATCTATACATCCTCTTACCATGACTAAAACCTAATACTGTAACCGTGTTATATAACTTTGCAACCTTTTCTTTGTTATTTTGAAATTACTGAATTTAATCTCACGAATGTATTTTCCATCCCATCTTAAATATTTTCTAAATTCGTCATTGTTTTACATATTTTTGGACCTTTTTTAATGCATTCAAATTATTATATTTTGAATTTGTTTTATTATGTTAGAAATACATACCTCTGTTACAATGATTGTAATAAAATAACTTGACTTTATCTAACTGTGGTTTGATCTTGCCTTCCATAATTGGGTTAACATTTTTACAGACTGATCTGTTAAACACACCATCCTTACACACCAAAGCTTCGTCAATATGACTAAAATATAAATAAAATATATATGATTTCGATGTCAATTATTTCTGAAATATCCTTTATGTTAGATATTACTAAGATCGAGTGTAAAAAGAAATCTTACTATAAAAATCCATTTAGAGCAAAAAGACGTAGACCGACAGAAAAGTTCTTCTAAAACAAAATTTTCTTTTCAACATTGTAAGCTTTAACTTAGTAAGGAGAATAATATACTTTATATAACTGATAAATGAAAATTTACAATATAAATGTATTATTTAAATCGTGTAAGAAAAACTAATATGACAGAAAACTTAGAAAAAGGACAAAGTCCACAATTCGTGTACAATTTTCCCAATTTGGCGCGTCTTTTGCATCGAGGGATCAAAGATACATATATTCATATATTTCGTGTCGTTATGAGCGTTAATTATAAGGAGAACAAATTAGTAGTGTAAATTCGCAGGAAAATAATTGTATATAAATGGTTAGCGATCACCAAAATTGAATCCTTGTTTCAACTTCTTTTAATTTCATCAAAGGAAGTGAGATACTAACAGTGTAAAACACCACTGGTAGTTCGTCATCTGATTCAATCGACTTCATGATATCGATTGTGAAACTTAGCCATAATGTACTTTTCGATGTGCATTGCAATTCTCTGATAATGATTGACAGATATTTACGTAACGAGGTATCGGGATAATCTCGCGTAATCCGCGGTTGCTTTCGATTTATTTATGGAACAGACACGTTAAAATGTTAAAATGTCACTGCAGTTAATTTTGCTATTAAAAACTATCTTAATTAATAACTATAATTTCAAGTGTATTTTTACTGCTTGTAACTCGTTCTAGGGAAAATCCATTTGATATTCTCTGTATGGGGTTAGGGCAAAATAATTGAAAAAATGACTTGGCATCGAAACTGGCAAAATAAATAATCTTTCCAAAAGCAGCCTGAAAATAAATACCCGACTCATATAATATTGAAAAGTGTTTTGCATGAACAAAAAATTATGCAGCTTTGTATAAGAAAAATAAAATTAATTATCGTTCCTCACAAAACTTTCGTGCGGGAAAAAATCCACCTCCCTCCTGTCCCCATATCAAATGGTCGTCCACTTAACTAAACTTATAGGCCGAACCGAAAGCAAAAAAACTGGGAAAGGGCTATACACACTTACTGACAAACATGGAGTCTTTCTGCTTCATTATATTCATGGTGGCCATTGTGGAAAACTGTCTCATCTATATTCTCTGGTAGGTCGTCAAAACAATTCAACGTCTTCTTACAACATTGGAATCCTTTCTTGGCATCCCCAAAATCTGCAAATACAGAAACAGTTATGTCGATAAATGTTTTGTCACGTGCTATAAATTTATAGTGTAATGACAATGAAGAATTGATTTAAAATTGATAAAAATATCTTTCCATGGCAACATTGTCTTTAATAGATAACACCAACATATAACACTACATACCTTTGCAACAACTGTTCTTGTTAAGATTTTTAAAAAGGTCATTTTTTATAAAAAAAAAAAAAATTTAAAAAGTCATAAAAATGTCCCGGACTCAAAATTCTTAGCAATTCGATGCTAAAATGAGTTTCATGAATTTATTATTTTTATTTGTAATATATCATTCATCGGATATATGAATTCGAAAAAGATACTCTCGATGTTAACCAAAAGATAACGTTTAAACTGATTTTTACATAGGTCATGATAACCCGAATAATTCAGTCGTTATATTCCACTGCTCTACGATGGCTACATGAACCTCGCGAGTGGGAGTGTCGATCACGGGGAGGGACTGAATTATTCGGGTTCAGGTCATGATATCTTTTATAATTGTAGATCATATACATTAGTTTCAGGCAAAATGTCTGTTTCTATCAAATACATGTAGTATTGTCCTTATTTCCTTATCAAACATATTATTTATAAAAAAAAAAGGACTAATTGTCGATTGTATCTACGGACGGATAGGTCAATCAAAAATTTATATTTTTCCATGGTATCATGTTGCCTGTCTGTTAATCAAATGGCATGCTAAGACTGGTTGGTTTGGATCAGAACAATTTAACTGGACTATAATTTTAAAGTGTTTAGTCGTCGAATATTACAATTTTGAGTAAGCAAAAGTAAATGTCGATGTGACGGTCTATATATTAGCTAGTACTAACAAAGATATATTAGCTAGTACTAACAAAGATGTATTAGCTATAATACTAACAAAGGGGTCGTATACGCATGCATCAATCAATATGATCACATACATTAAATTATTTCAGTCAATGATAGTCCCTTTTCCAATCAGCTACTTTGTTTCTAATTGGAAAAGAGAAACAGCTCATATGAAGAACAATCTGTATCCTCCTATGGAAAGAGCTGATTTTGATCTGCCTTAGATTGCGTAATAACCTATTTTTGCAATCCCATTTTAACATAATGTGTGTTATGAACTAACAAAGTATGAACTATAACCATATATATCTCACACATTACATAATGCTCTTTTCTTTTGCTTGTAAAACCATATAAAATTGGAAACAAAGTCGGCAATTCGAAAATGGACTATTTGACAATGTTCTTATTACATGTAGGTTTATGTTTTAAAATTAGATGTATATGTATCGGTTTGTGAAAATAAGTTTGAAATAAAAAAATTTAGTAATCAACCAACCAGCAAAATCACAAAATCAGAAATTAAAAATAAACTGTAATAATATAAAATCTTGTACTACCTTTAAGTAAACTTATTTCAAATATTATACGCAAATATGGATCGTCAAGCAACCAACAATAAATCAATTAATATACACAAATATGAAAAATTACAAGTAATTAATGATGCACAGTGAAATAATTTTCTTTATTTATTGAGAGAGTTTTCATTAGAATATAGATAAAAAAAGTTAGTACATTTGCACAAAATGTAGTAACCTGAATTTTGTTTTTTATTTATCTAACAGAAGAGATATCGTCTTTCGAAGATAAACGCAAAGTTTACAATATTCATGGACTTTTCATAAGATAATAAAACAAAATTATTACTTATGTCTTATAAATATTATTGTGAAACAGAATTAATAAATCGCATGTTAATAGGCGTAAAATAACGTAGCCAAAGGCCATTTTTTCTAGTCATAGTTTTTAAAATATAATAATTACGTGTGTTCTTATATTCTTTAGTTTTATTTCATCGCAGTTTATTTATTTACTATCAATTGGATAATATTAGCATAAACATCTTTAATAAATTAATAAAAAGGTTAAACACTTAAATTTATTTTCAAATGTTATCTTTCCTATGGTTTTAAAAATTGTTTCCGATTCAATCAATTCGACGTTAAACGTTCCATTATCATTATTGCATTAAATCGTGGACATAAACCAAAAGAGAGTTTAAATAAATCCAATCTTAACAAAAAATAAATGTCCGCGAACTCGCTCATTTATTTTATGTTTGGTCGCTCCAACGCAGCGAACAAACATAAAATAATGAGCGAGTACGGATATTAAACTTTAATTAGATTGAAATAAATCCAAAGATTTGTCGCAAAACATTAAATAAAAGAAAACATACGCCTTGGTTCCTCCCCGCAAATATCATCATCTGGTTTCATATTTCTCTTGCGCAGTGTACGTAACCTGTCCATAATATTATATGGGCGAAATTTAGTAACGAAATCATAATACAAGGAAAAGACCCCGGAGACAGTACAATTGTCCAGAAGCTATAATTCAGACACGAACATTGATATCTTGTTGGTCGTATTACATAAATCACACTTCGTGAGTTTGTCAACATGTACAACAGTGTGTAGCTAGTTTTATAATTAATGAACATGTAAACTTTAAGGCGAATAACTAATTACAATTACGTGTTAACTTAAAACGACCTTAAAAGTTGAAGTATGAATTTAAAATAAAATAATTATAAAAGATGAAAATAGTTTGGTTTGACTAATAAACCAAACTCACCGATTTTAGCACAAAACATTCTAATTTCCTTCTTTCGTTGCTTTCTATCCGCCTCAGACGTGCGAAAAATGGAAACATCATCATCTTTTGTTGCAGAGTTTTGAGCAATTTTATCTTCATCGTCTGAAATAACTGTTTCTGGTGTGGTTGTATCCGAATCACTACCACCAGAGTTCAAGGTTTCATTAGTATTCACAGTTATATCAGATTTGAAACTGGTTCCTTTTGGATTTATTGTTGTTACTATTGTATTTGTTGTTATAATTGATTCTGTAGTGTTGTTTGGGTATAATGTTGTTGAATCAGTCTTCCTGGTCTTTGTAGGCAGAGCCAATGTTGTTGTCACTGTCACTTTTTGATAGTTGTTGTCTAGATTTTGATTATCAAAACCATTTGTTGTATTCTGGTTGTTTGTTAATGTCCCATTCAAAATTTTAGAATTTGTTGTTGTTTTTTCTATAAGTTTTGTTGTCGATTCCTTCACTGGTTGTGTTGTCGGTTTACTGGTTGTGGATTCATTTAAAACCTGTTGTCCAAGTTTATGAATTTGTTTAACTTTATCGTCCATTCTTTCCAGTAGCTTTCTGATTTCGTCCGGTGATATTATTGGCTTATTATTAAACATAGCTCTCGGTTGTAGCACATCGGCAGATTTCAAATCCATTTTCTATTTTCTATATATAAAAGCGTTTATAGGGATGTGTCTCTCACAGGTTCACTGAGTCTAAATAAGTATATTCCATTTACATTATATGTATTCTTCCATTAATGTTGGTTTGTTTATTGTACACAATACACTGCAAACACTACTTAATTACAGTCGAACCAATCAGGCAACAGATTGGTCATCATTAAGCGTAAAGAAAGTGTCAACGTCAAAGTTATTACTGCATGTGTCATACTTCGCAAAGATGACCATTTTGTAACGGTTTCACGATCTGTACTTATTTATATTATTAAAAGAAGCTTCTGATTGAATTTAGCTTGTAAGCAAAAAGCGGTTAAAAGAAGATAATTTCCATTTAGTACTGAATATTTCGAGGATAGGATGTTGTAAAATAAAAATCCCTGTAAATTCAGATTATTAGCTTATGACGTATTTTGTGGAAGGAAATAACCGAATGACATTTTTCATGTCCCGAAATCCATCAAATTACGGTTCACTTGTCACAGACTTCGTAACCACCTAACACTGTATATGACGTACAAATCTACCTAAACACCACAAATAATCACTGTCAAACGAGAATACCAAACTGCTTACTGCTACCAATAGGTATGATCTCGGACAAAACGTCATGCATTAAAGACAAAAATTCAAAACAGTAAACGCAAACAAAGGGACCAGTGTAATAACGAGGAAAAAAAATACGAGAAATTATATCTATATTTCAGATTTTTCCCTACTTTTTACCGTTGTTATAGTTAAGTTTTAAATTTTAATTTTGAATTGCCAAAGATAAATAAAATACCCATTTTTGTCGGAAACTTTACCCTGGCTGATGTTTCGTTACAAGTTTTTGCAGATGATGTATCACTTTACAAAAATAAAACTGGTCGTTATTAATGGACTTAAAATATGCAGTTTTTACTTAATTGACCATCCCCTATCAGAAAAAAAAAATAAAAGTACATATAACCAATTGCACACCATAGTCATCTGTAAAAAAAATAATCAAGTTAACATCATTGTTTTGTTTAAAAACTCACTTACCAATATTAGCACATAATCTTCTTCTCTCTTGCTTTCTTCTCCTTTTATCTGCTCTTGAAGATGGGAAAATGATAATATCAATATCATCCGCTTTAGTTGAATTTGAGTTTTTGTTTTCTTGAATAACCACTGAACCGGAATGTGCTTTCTTTGGTATATTGTCCATTTTGGTATTACTGGATTCCGTTTTATCTATTTCCTTGTTGTCATCCGGGACATTTGTGTCTATATTTTTTGCAGTGAATGTTGAAGAAGTGTCATTAGTAAAACTTTCTAATTGTGTGACAGAAGAAGGTAAAATCGTTGCCGTTTCGAAACTCGTTGTTTGTTTTGTTACATTTGTTGTTTTTATTTCGGGTTGTGTTTTCATTTCCGTTGTTTTTTCGGTAGTTGTCGATTTTTTGGTCACATTTGTTGTTATTATTTCTGGATGTTTTTCTACTTCCGTTGATTGAATATTTGTGAGATTAGGAATTGTAATTGCAACATCGTCTGATAGTTTTGCAGTGGTGACTTCTGGTGTTTTCGTTGCAGAAGATATTTCCGTCTTTTTTTCATTTCCTGCTTCCGGGATAATTTGCTGCGTTCTCTCTGTTGTCGAAATATGTATTGGCTTTGATGTTTGCTTACCGCTCGTTGGTAATAATGTTGAAAACGATTTTGTTACTGTTTCTTTTGTGGTTGTACTTTCTGCTGTCGGGTGATTGCTTTCTTTTGTGGTAAACTCAGAAATTATTGGACTCACTTGAGGTTCATTCGGAACGTTTGTCTTTAAGTTATCCGTTCCTGTCATTGAATCAGTAGTTGCTGTGGGCATGGAAGTAGAACGTAGCTTGTTGGGTTCAGTTGAAGTCACAATAGACAATGGAATAGGTTTCGATAATTTTGCTTCAGGGCTTTTTTCTCTAGCTTCAAAAGCTTTTTTAATTAAATTCTTCACGTATTCATGTGAAATAATGTGTATTCCATCGTTTTTTTTTATTTTCACATTTTTCACATTATCCGAAAATTCTTTAGGAGGAAGGTTTGCACTTGGTCTTTCCGAGATAGTGTTATTACCTGAATTCTGTGACTGCAAAAAAGACAAGTTTCCATCTGGTGAATGCTTAATAGTTGTCAAACTGACATCGATTTCTGTGTTATCGAGTTTGCCATTTTTTCCCAATTGTTTGTCTTTGTTTTTTCTTTTAGAATTTTCTCTTTTCTTTTCTTTTCTGTTCTTTTTCTTTTGCTCCTTACGTTTTATCTTGTTTTCCTTCCTTAATTTTAAGTCATCGTCATTATTTTTAACTTTTTCCGTTTGTAGACCATTTCTCACTGCCTTAATTCCATGAGGCTCAATAAAGTCTATTGCAATGTCCATATTTTTTCACGACATAAAACACTAAATTCTAAGTTCCTGCCCGGATAAACAAAATATAACACTTGTTCAAATTCTCCTTACGTACGACATTTATTTTTTCTTAATCATGTATTTCATCATTACAAATTTGATACTAAATAATCTGATTATGACATATCTCTTGCAATGAAATTACCAACTGTCATCTTCATGTCCCCTGATCCATCAAGCTTTACGGTTGACTAATCATACATTCGTACCTGTGTTACAAATAAACATGTAACTTTCTACATACACCTACACGTCTGCTTGTAATTAATCTTATTGATATAGTAATGTAGTTGTTCTATATATTAGTTTTAAAATTAAAATATACAGTTTTACTCAAAGCAAAAATGGTTAATTACATTAAAAATATATCAGAAACTACTAGATATTTTTTTTTATTGAATTGTGTCTCATTTCGTCCATCCAACATAAAAGGGGCGAAACATACTAAAAACACCTCATTTTTTTTCAAAAATAATAATTCTGTGTATTTTTTTATCCAATATTAAAGTAACCTCTTGATATATGTCTGTGTGTTTGGATGTTGTCTCAATAACGTGCATTCCAAATTTTTTTTAGTTATAAAAAGGTAGGGAAATATTTTGTTTATTTGAATTTAAACAGACTGAGTATTAAAAAATGACAAAAGGTCAAACAAGGTTGTCCATTTCCCCCTCTACTATTGTATGTTACATACATATATATGAACTGGAGTAATTTAGGTATATACTTTTTTTTTTTGAAGTGTCATGTTATTATCATTTCTTATCATAAATAATTATTGATTGACTTCACCATTTGTATAAAAATAAGAAAATGTGGTATGAATGCCAATGAGATAACTCTCCGCCAGAGACCAAATGACGTAGATTTTAACAACTATAGGTCAACGTACGACCTTCAGAAATGAGCAAAACCCATACTGAAAAGTAAGCTATAAAAGGTTTGAAATGACAAATGTACTCAATTCAAACGAGAATTGTACCTTAATTACAAAGTTTATATTTAAGATCCTCTCGTGCAATATTTTTTCATCTATCAGTGTATACACAATTTAGCTGGATTTCTCCTATCTGGAAGTTAAACACATTTTAAGGGGCGTCCGTTTTGATGTGAATGATGTGAAAATACGCAGCCATAACCAGTCGGAATGAGTACTTAAATTACAACGTCTCTTGTCCTGGGAGAGTGCTCATAGGCGGATCCAGGGGGGGGGGGGGCTTGGGTGTCCCTTTCGTGGAAAAAATTTGGTTGATTATATAGGGAATCACTGAAGCATGACTGGAGCGGGCCCCCCTTAGGTCAGTCAGCGCCCCCCCCCCCCCCCCCCCCTTATGAAAAGTTCTGGATCCGCCACTGGTGCTACGCTCTCTGTACGTTTAGGACCCCATGAAATGACTTTTGGTGGGGTCTTTATGTGGCCTGTGATAAGATAAAAAGTCTGCCCCTATCTAACAGATTCTAATTTTTCAAAACCGTTCGAAATTCGAACCTTTCATGCAGATCGGGACAATTTGCAGAACATATATATTTTGAATTCAAATATTTGCCACTGAACGATAATCAAACAACAATGGACCAAACAATCAATTTATTATGGGTTAATTGAAATTCTTGTCGTTAAAAAAAAACTAGTACAATGATGAAAATAACTTTAGCGTATAGGATAACTATTTTCATAACAAAATGACATTGTTTTCTGTCATACTTACGTTGAATACTAATGTAGAAAATGTACTGAAAAATGTAATTAAAGTCTAACTTTACAGTCTTGAAAAACATAGAGAAAAACTATTTTTGCTGATTAAATGAGCTTTTTTTGTGGGAGGCATGGATTTTTTTTAATATACATTTTTTTTATTCTAAAATTCTTGAAAAATATTATTTCAGAGGGAAGTGAACCAATTGGTTTGTTTCAAAATTAAGAAGGAAAACAATACATTGAGTTTCCATACAAAATTCTTTGTCCAGTATGATCTTGAAAAATTTGTTTTTGAATTAAGATAAAAGAAAATTTTAATCGAGAGAAAAAAGCCATGCACCTACAAATGGTGAATGGTCGGTGTCTCATGTTACAATTGTAAGATCTAACTTTAATTCATTAACCCTTTTACTGAATAACTGAATATGATTTTAAACATCATGCTTTCTATCTAATGGTTACATAATCTATCTACATCTTCTTGTTAATCACAAACTCTCTCTGACCAGATAGTGTTACAGATGTCGTGAAACACATAAAAAAAAATCCCAGCAATTTACCTACATTTACATACATATGAAATCAAAAGACTAAGAACTCCATTTTATTGTTCTTTTGTTTTTATTTTGCTTGTTTTGTTTTTGTTTTTGTTTTTTTTTTCTTTTTTTATTTTAAGAGGGGGGGGGGAGGTATTTTTGTTATTTTTGTTATTATTGTATTTATGTATTTATAGTTTTTAATTTGTTGTTTGTTGCTTGTTGTTTGTTATTTTGTTTTTTAAGGGGTGCAGGTAATTTCACACTTTCCATTCATTGCCGAGACAGTTTTACTTAATAATAATTGAATACAGCAAACAACGCTTGAACTAGAAAAATTACAATTATCTTGGTGTATTTGGTAATTCCTGTCCTCCTTTTTTCAATGTATTACCTAAAACAATTAAATTGTTAAAAAAAGAGGCAAATGATTCCAAAGGGAGATTTAAAAATCATAAGTCGAAGAAAAAGGGACAAGACAATGACCAAGAGGAAAAACGACGAAAAGACAAACAAAGGTCTGCAAAACACTACACAGAAACCTAAAGACTCAGCTACACGAAGACAACCAAAACCCGCAGTGATCTCAGGTGTTCCGAAATGGCATATTTTGTCTACCAGTGGCATTCGTCATGTTGCGCATGACTAGTACAAACTCGATGACAAGTCGCATCCGTAGATGTAACAGTCGGGAAGAAGATCACTGGATTGTGGCTTCGACAACTGATACATATTTGCCGACACAGATATTCCATAACGGTCAACTAAATCATGATGGCGTCTATAAAACTTTTGAAGGAATTACTTTTTCTTTACCATAAGGCTCACGTTTAAGCAGCAACCCTCTATGAAGGAAATCATTACAGGAAACGCAAGTTCTGGTAAATCATATTAAATCGGAGATATATACTCCATAGGCAGAATCTGCTGGAATGTTGATTCATAGAAACGGAAAAGAAAGGGAAATTTCACAATTGGAAACCTGAAATCAAAGATTGTGTTGTAAAGTTTAGTTCTCAACCAATACTCATTGACAATTTCTATATAAGTCAAGATATGAAGCAGAATTAACCGTATCTTTGGCATCTATGAGTTAATGAGGAAATGTTTGTATATCAATCATGAATCAACTATGCGAAACTAGTAATATATTTCTAATTTAATTTCATGTGTGTATTAGATATTAATTTCCTCTTCTGCTAGATAGGATATGAACGTCGTTAAATAACCATCAGTGTTTATAGTTATATCCTGCAAATTGTTGGTTATAGTTTGTTTTTTATATTTGTACATCCAAATGTTCATGGGAAAATGTGTTTTTATTAATCGAATTAAAGTTTGATGTTTTCTTTCATTCTTTTTGAAAAAGTTACTTATACTTTTTTATAGTTATGACATTTTGTCTTATGTGTACAATTACAATAATGAGATGCTATATAATTGTCAAAGAGACACGAATGTTACTTACAGGCTTTCTACAATGAGTAAAAACAATATCGTACAATAAGCTATACAGGCTGTACCTGCAGAAACCGTGTTACAAAGGGGGAACCACAACCTGATGTTTAAGGTGATTTTGTTTAAATGTCGATACGATACATGTAAACTTACTGATCACTTCTTTTTAAAGGCAGTCGATGTAACATTGTAGTTAGATATTTGAATACTGTATTTATGGGTACTAACATTGATTTTATTTTTAATGCTAGTAGTTTACTACAGTTATTAACATTTATGGTCCTACATCCTGTCGATATTTTGGCATTGCACAAGGTCATGCTTTCAAACTGCTTATGATGTCTTTACCCTTAATCCGTAACAGGTGTATTGGTCGATTTTTTGCCTGAACTCCATGAGGGGTTCACGCCTATATATTGGTGAGTTTTGGAAGTGTCTATGGGTCATTCGATATCCTCGGAATCAAGATTCCCGGAACGTCTCGAAAATTTGCGATCATTTATACAGGTAGTTTTCTATGTCTTTGATACGGTCTCTCTATTGATCGGCTACATGTACCACGTGACATTGTATATTTCAACAATCAAAGTTCATTTGTAGATTGGAAAGTAAATCAATAAAAACTAGGTTGCAGTCAAAAAATCATTCATATGTTAGAACCTATTTGCCTTTTGACAAAACATATGTGTTTTTTAATAAAAAATGCGAATGTTTATTAAATATCAAGTATAATGATAACGCAATTATATAATTCATGCTTTGAGACGGTCCCTGTACACGTTGTGTGTGTAGTATTAATACAGCGTACTGTTGTGCATTGTGGCAATAAATCTGGGAATAGTTTATTAATCTATTTAATCTGTATTGCAAAATCTTTATTGCATAATGTCCCAGAATAAACTGAATATTTCTGAACGTTTATCATTTGATATTTTGTATTTCAATCATAGTATGGGAAAATGTCGGAAAGCATGAAGAAAATTAAGAAAAACGATATTTCTGTTATAAATATTTATCTTAGGTCGGAAACACAGTGGTCGCAAAGCAGAAAGATAATTAAACAAAAGGATTTTTCTGTCAAAAATATCTGATTTCATTAATAGATACTACCAGACCAAGAGAATATTCATTATTAAGTTTAAACTGAGACTGAATTTATTCTTAATAAAATATAATTAAAATTGTCATATATACGTGCATTATGTCTCACCGGTTTGAACAGTCATTACGTTTATGAAAATTATATGCAACGTATGAGCACCATTGAGCAGGGATGCGTACCCAAAGTTAGCTAAATATCTAAATTTTAAACAATCGTGAATGAAAAAAATACTTGCATGGTTTCAATTCACAAGGATTTTAAGTCACATAAAACGTAATTAATATTTTACAATAATCATAACAAAATTTAATTATCATTATTGTTTTATACTGTTTTAATATGGATTTATAAGTCTCTGCTTATTTTGTATAGCAATATATTCATATAGTTGAATGTAAGACTTTGAGCAGAGATTGAGTTGATAAATACTTGACGTTTGTGTTTATTGATATTATATTCTAAATTTTCGGAAAAAAAATCAATAACAGGAATGAATGTTAATTATAAAATTTCAATTCTTTTTTGTTTGTTTGTTTTAATAGTTCAACCTTATAGCATCTAAATATTTGTACTATGGTACGATTTTGAAAATTGTATTCATTGTGTTGACAAGCTAACCTACACGTCTTGTTTTTTAGTTTTATATTTATGGATAGTCTTGTTTGTTTATTTGTTGAAATTGAACTAGCTTTCAGTAACATCGAGTACTCAGATCGGTACGTTTGTGTCATTTGTCTTTTTATAAGTTGTTTGTTTTTTGTTTTGCCGATGTGGTGCTGTTACATCACTGTTTGACCAAGAAGTTAGGGGAGGGATGAGCACTAACAAACATGTTTAACCCCGTCACATCTTGTATGTGCCTGTCCCAACCTTGGAGCCTGCAATATTGTGATGGTCAATGGTTACTGTCTGTAATAATTGTTTTCCGTTTTTTTGGATTTTGCCAAAATCAGTCCGTTAGTTTTATATTGTTAATTGTTTCGCATTTAGTCTTCCCTTGGCCTTTTATAGCTAACATTACGTTATAGGTTTTCTTCAGTGATAAAGGATGTATGTTGACATGTATGCACCTGTCCTAAGTCAGGAATCTGATGTTCAGTAGTTGTCGTTTGTTGATGTGGTTCATAAGTGTTTCTCGTTTCTCGTTTTTTATATAGATTAGACCGTTGGTTTTCCCGTTTGAATGGTTTTACACTAGTAATTTTTTGGGGCCCTTTATAGCTTACTGTTCGGTGTGAGCCAAGGCTCCGTGTTGAAGACCGTATTGTGACCTATAATGGTTTACTTTTATAAATTGTAACTTGGATGAAGAGTTGTGTCATTGGCACTCATACCACACCTTCTTATATCTATGTAGTTGATTACATCCTTACCCTTAGTCTCTATTTGATTTTGATAGCTAATATACAACATCTCCTTTTATATATATATAAAGGGCACTGGGATAACAAAATGTGAAACAATTCAAAAGAGAAAACAAACGACCTGATTTTAAGCTTTAAAGTTTGACCCCTAACCTTACCTGGGACAGTTGTGAAAACAGTGCAAGATTTGAACATATTGTAGAAATATAGTTGAAAAAGGCTTTATCAGGTCTGTGCTAAGCACAAAAAAAACAAACTAAAAAAATCAAGAGATACAGAGTACCAATTTTGGGGTAATCGCCGTGTATTTGTTTATCAAAAATGTAATGCCGTCAAGTCGAATTATTTGCTCTATTCAGTCATAATTTATGAAAAGTTATCTTACAAAATAATTGATGTAACCCGTTGTTGTGTAAACAGTTTGTATGTTTCTGTTTTTACCATCCGATTTTCGAGCACACTATGACAGTATTTGAAAGACTTCTTTGTTCGTGATAGTCAGACATTCATTGAAATTATCCACACTACAACTGTGTTCTTCAATAGACACCTGATTGACACCCAGAAAGGCAATTATAATGGTCAAAATTGTCAATCCATCATTACCAATCATGATTGTATTTGTGGGGTTTTCATGATCGACCAATAGATTTGTTATTTTTTTTACAAACTAACCGGAAGAAGATTACATCCTCGTCCTCTGTTTATGGCAGATAGTTGTTTCTACATCTCCTTAACATTATATTTATACTACCGGGTTTAAGTTATCAACGTATTCGGATCGTTATTTTATAACTTTGATGTGATATGATTTACTATTTTTCACATAAAGCTGGTTTTGTTTTCGTGTGTCATTACGACATTTTTTTTTATGATTTCTTTCGGATAAGTCTTTCCTCCTATAGCTAAATGATTCGCACTTGAAAGAACAACATGAAAGGAAAAAGGTAAAGTTGACTTTTGATGGATCGAACTTTTTATATTTAGGTCCCTTTTTGGTCATATAGCTTTTCACGTGTTTTGGTTCTTATACATACTTTACTTTGAGCTTTCAGGAATAAGGTTAGTTCTGAAAAGCGCTTCATACGTAAAAAAATTAGGATGTATAATTATCACCTCTTTAATGTCGGATATTTAATTCCACCGGGCGGGTAGTGCATGCATGACTTTCCAACCTTCTGTAGAGCACCAAGGACGCTACAACGAGATCTCTGGTGTGGTAAATTCAAGGATACTAACAAAACAATTTCGAAAAAAATAAGATATATATATATATATATTGATAACCAAGTCTAAATTGAAAACAACGTTCAAACCTATGATTGCGTTGGATAAAAACCACAATTTTTATACGTGTGCATGCAAAACAAATTTCTTGGTAGAGGGGTCTAAATACAGCACAAACAATATTTTCCAAAAGACCAAAAAAGTGAAAAAGTATATTTTAACAAAAATCATTTGACTAACAGGTCGAACAACGGATGTTCTTAAACCCTGCTGACTGCCATGGCAATTGCCAAATAAACGGATCACTAGATGTAACAAAATGAATCTTAATTTTTAATATTATACCATACAGAAAACAATAAACTTACGGAAAAGATGATAACCATACAGTCCCATAATTGTATAAGCACGTAAAACATAAAAAGAAAGCTCAACATTGTCCACAGCGTCGACATGTTGTACTAGAGACAGCGAAACATCTGATATCTCAACATTCGTTTTTTTAATAATGTATAATCAAAACAGACTGTTACGGATGTTCGCTCCTCTTGTTTTTGAATTTTTGCCAGATTTTCGGAATCCTCTGGTTTTATCCATGTAGTGCCATTAAAAAATTTGCCCATTAACCCCTACTTTTCTTTTCATAATTTGATTACATATAGTTTAAAATGCCATCTTTGAAAATCTTATTAAATCCTTGTTATTTTTTCATAGTTTTTGAAAGAAAAAAGGTGCCAATGTTAAATGTATGAAAAATCTAGAGAGAATCATTTCCCGCCAAATTTTCAATGGCTTATATCTCGAAAACAAGCACATGGACCCTTCATTTTTTTCTGCTGTTATGGTTCCTTTATTTATATACTACCAATTTGTAACAGTCTTTTAAAAAGCTTGTTATTTGAAACAGAGTAGCGAACATCCTTAATTTGTCATTTTATTATAATAGATAAGGTTGCAATTCCCTGAGGCAAAGTTGATCTCAGATGGGTTTTGATGTTTATAATTAGTATTAGGTCTTTTTGGTTTTTCTGCTCTCTTACATTTTATATTTTTATAGAACTACTGACTACCTTTTTATCTAGAGTGCACCTCATTGTTATGCCAGAAACACAAGTCGTGTACAAGAACACCGGTATTATTCGTATTTTTTTGTTTTAGTAAATAACTGAAGCAGACGTGTTAATCTTTTAAATTGTAGATATAAACTGTGGTTTTGGTGTCTGTTATCATCTAGACTGGTCTGGTATTCTTATAACTATTTAACAATGTACCCGTATGTTACAAGAAGTAGAGAACAAGCCTAGTACGTTAGCATTATGCATTTATTATAACTGAAACTAGACACGTCATATATACAATATCATGTACAAGTCTTCTATATTTTCAACTCAACTTTTTTTTAAATTGTTAATGGTTACAGTCCGCATTAGGACATACGCCCCCTACTTAGACACATCGTTATGATAACGAGACGATCAGTGTGAATGGTACTTGCTTGGAGGAGAAGCAGAAAATGCAATCGATTTCGATTATCGAACCAAATACTTTCCAAGACCATGCTACCACAACACCACGATGTTAAAAAGTCAATTTTCAATTAACGACTGTGTTTCAAAATTTAGATTGTTTTCAAAGGTGAAACAATTTCAGTGAAGGACAAACTGAATCTCTGTCTATACAACTCTTTTGGAAATGTTATTTCAACTGCGTAAACACATTTTTTTGCAATCATCTTTTTTTTTATCATAAATGTGTAATGCCCGCACAGAGTCAAAATCAGTGTCAGATTCGGCATGCATTCAACATTTGAAGAGAAGGCATAACCTGCATTACCATATTCGTGTCGTACCACTCAGTGAGATTTGATGTATTTTTTGTTAATTCACGGTTCTTTTTTTCTAAAACACTTTCAATTTTGAATGAATTTTATCTTATATCGCAAAAAGCAATATTGATAAATATCTGTAAAACTAACAAGGCATAATAATGGTTTTATATAAATAAAGTTAAATGTTTCGTCGAAAATTAATTTTCAAGTTCTTTTTTTCGACAAAGTTTTGCATGTTCTGGCAGTACTTGCATATATGAATGTCTATCACCTTTTACTGGTTCTATATAATCTGAATTTTCAGGTTGATCTTTTTTGTCGGAATTTTTTTCAAGAATGTAATAATCGTTTTTAGGTCCACCACTCTCGCAGATTCCACTGTCAGCCTCATCTTCAATTACAGATCTTGACGATTCTGCGTAAGGCGTCATTTCCAAGTGTTCTTTTTTACTTTCTGCCATTTCAGTTGCTGGTAACAACCTTTGGTTTTCCGAACTACTTTCTGCAATTTCATTTGATGGTAACAACCTTTGGTTTTCCGAACTACTATCTTCTTCTTCTTCCTTTGCCAGTATCATATATTCCCCTGGAGATATGGGCTCTTTCTGAGTAGTATTGTCATCTTCTTTAGCTAAAGTAAAATATTCTCCATCCGGAAGTCCAATAGGAGGCCGATTATTCTGTATATCCATCATTTTACTGGCTCTAAGTGATTCGTATATCCCGTGACTGTCACGTGATTCCCCAAACTTCTCTGAATCCAAAGGATTATATACATTACTACGCCTTTTCACTTCCCCACCTATTTCTGTATACTCATCAATAGACTGTGATAATTTTGCACTGGCCGCCTGTTTATAACTTGGTAATGTTTTTGAATTTGCATCTGGAATTGGAGGTAGAGGTTTGTTTGTTGAGGCTTGCGTCAATGTTTTAGATGTATTTGCGGTTGGTTGGTTGGCATCAACACTGACCCAACGCTTAAAGGTGTCGCCAACTACGTTGGATACTCCGGGTAAGCGTTTACGGTCTTTTTTATACGGTAGTTGGACTTCGTGTCGATTGTAATGTGGATTGTCCTGGAAAGTTATATCATCATTTTTAATTATCTAATTTGAATATTCAACTATAAAATTCAAACACAAAAATTACTTTACAAAATTTATTTTGGATTACTCGGAAACATATCTAGAAAATTATCCGTACAAAATCTTTGTTGATCTGTTTTTACTTTAAATAGTCTAAGATGTAAATTAAATTCATCATTTCATAATCTAAAGGATTGTGGGTAATTTTATGAATCTGGAACAAAATTAAAATAACGTCACACGTCATTGGTCGGTTATCCATTGTGTTAGACGTTATTTATAATACCATCCAATCACAATGTTCTGGTTTACGCTTTTGGAAATATTTCCCAGAATGCATTAGATTCTGACACGGCGATTTGCAACGATTCTGTTCATGATTTATTTCTTAAAATAATAAAATGTCTAGCATTAAATTGCGTCAGTTTTACATTTGCTGGTGTCCACTTCGATGTTAAGGAACTTGCATAATTTGTTTTATTGTTTTATTCTTGTCTATTTACTTTTTCCAATTACTTACAATACACAATTCTTCGTATGTTGTGCCATCAGAATCATTTACATTAGTCAATGTCGTCGCCACCACTCTGTAATCTTCCTCTATTACCCGTCTGTTATTTAAACAAAAATGTAATCCAGTAAAGTATAAGATTCAAGAAAAATATTCTGATGAAAATAATAATTAGGAGTGGATTTTGCCTACTTCTTGAATTCTTATTTTTCACATATCTTAAAAATTTGGCAGTGACTTCAATCAATTTGTCTAGTCAGATATATGAATATTGAATGGACACTTTCCTTATTAATGATGACCGCATATTTAGAATAAGGGTGATCTTTTTGTACATGTATTGTGTTTTGGGGTTATTAATCAATGACGAACACCCCATTTCCTATAATCATTTATATTCCAAACCTACGCTGGTTGTGTGTTTATGCTTACTTTTTATAGGATAATTGTGTGTTAAGGAGGTTCTCTCCTCTTGTTTTTGATTTTTTGCCAGATATTCAGAATCCTCTGGTTTTATCCATGTAGTACCATTATTTTTTTACCTGATAACCCCGTCTTTTCTTTTCATTATTTTATTACATATAATTTAAAAAGCCATATTTGAAAATCTTAAAAAATCCTTGTTAATTTTTCATAGCTTTTGAAAGAAAACAGGAGCCAATGTTAAATGTATGAAAAATCTAGAGAGAATTATTTCCCGCCAAATTTTCAATGGCTTATATCTCGAAAACAAGGACATGTATCCTTATTTTTTCTGCTTTTTCAGTTCCGTTATTTATGTACTATCAATTTATAACAGTCTTTTAAAAAGCTTGTTATTTTGAAACAGAGTAGCGAACATCCTTAATATTATTATGGATCATGGTCAAAAATGCTTATCTACAATTTATCGATACCTATATTTTGGCATTGTACAAGGTCATGTTATTCTCTGACTGTTAATGACGTTTTTACACTCAATCCATTGGATATTGGGTGTGTACTGATTGATATTTAAATCTTAGATACATGATATTTTTTTATTAGTTGTTATTGGCTTTGAACTAGCTGTCAGTAACTGCAAGTACTCTAAGATCTGTACTTAAGTGTTTTTTTGTTGTTGTTTGGGATGAGGGATGGATATATATCCTGCCACTTCTTGTCTGTGATTTTGTTTTATGATTTTCTTTGTATCGATCTGATGAGCCTTTTTCAACTGATTTTTATAGTTTGTTCTTTTGTTGTGCTGTTACACCACTGTCCCAGGTTAGGGGAAGGGTTGAGTGCTCATAAACATGTTTAACCCCGCTACATTCTTTATGTGCCTGTCCCAAGTCAGGAGCCTGTAGTTTAGTGGTTGTTGTTAGTTCATGTCTGTCATATTTGTTTTTTCGTAAAAAGTTTTGTTAATAATTTAAGCCGTTAGTTTTCTCAATTGAATTGTTTCATATTTTTCATGTCGGGGCCTTTTATAGCCGACTATACGGTATGGGTTTTTCTCATTGTTGAAGGCCGTACGGTTGCCTATAATTGCTTACATCCAATTCATTTGAACTTTGGTGGATAGTTGTCTCATTGAAAATCATACCATATCTCATTATTCTTATATTATGTATGTATATACATAAATCGATATAACGCAAATATATTTTTAATTGAATATAAAAATGGGAAGATGTGGTTTGACTGATAATGAGAAATATAGACCAAATACATAGATGTTAACAATTACAGGTCACTGTACGGCCTATAACAATGAGCAAAACGCATACCGTAAAGAACGCTATAAACGGTCAAGGAATGACAGCATGTAAAACGGAAAAACCCATTGGCCTGATATGTATGCATTATGCATTTATTTATCAGTTATTGTATTTGCATATATATATATTACATGTCATATTGATGATGAGCATTATTTGCTTAAAGTAATAACAGAATTGAATATAGACTTTAACTTTGAACGAAAAAATAAATTTGTCAGAAAGCAACTTACGACAACCACTAGATTACAGGTTCCTGGCTTTGGATAGGCACGTTAAGAATAATGTGGAATTAAACACAACCCTTGTCTAGCATGTGAGAGTGGTGTAATTACACAACATAAGAATAAGCTAAAATGACCAACTGGAAAGGGTTTGACTAATGAGATCGGTACTTAACACAAATAAATTTTAAAAAAGAGATAAAAGACAAAAACACGTGAATTATGTATTTGTAATGGTTTGAAATGACCTATAATCTAGAGTTAAAAATGTAAATGCTAGTAGGTATAAAAGGAACAATACCTTTTGTGCTTCTCCGCATTTCTGGATCGGCACAGTACTAAAATAATTACAATACATAAAACAACAAATCCCCCAGTTCCGGCGCCGACATAAACTGCTAGATTCCCTCCTAAAAGTCCAAGCGACTCACCAAGACCATTTCTTGTTGGCCGATTTTGATCTAAAAAAGATAATAAACAAAATTGAATGATACACTTCTCTGTTAAATGCTTCTGGACGGGTTTTGATTGGCATTACGTAGGTAGAAATCTGTTTCATTTGTAAACAGAGAATCTGTCATCTCATTGGACGGCGGTGGAACAGGGAGAGCATACGGATCCTCCGATATCATTCTCTAAAAGTGTGGAAAACTATGTAAAATTTCAGGCCAGTTAAAATAGCGGGTGAAAATATACAGAAATATTTGACTAAAAATCATTCGAAACGAATAGGCATACCTCACCCTAAACATAGAATGCCATTTCCAAATGTAGTCTTATTTTTTGTTGTTGTTTTTGTATTATCAAAGCCCTTAAACTTCGTAATTAGTTTTTACTTCTAACTGTTTAGATTCGAACATCATTGTCGAGTCGTATGTAGACAAAATGATTGTCTGGCGTTTTTTTTTTTGTAATGACTTTTTGAGGACAGGTCCATAAGAATAATGGTTTATTTGGATCAGTGAACTCCTACAAGCCACAAGGTAAAAAAAGAATCGTACAATAAAAATTGTAAAGGAAAGGCACTTTCTGCAATAATGGTGAATGACAGATACAAATGTAACAGTGGACATTATTATGCAAAACACAACAATTAGTAACAATTCCAAGCCACATTAAAGAATTTTCACAGTTGCTGTAATCACTCAAAGTACTTCACGTGTTTATCTATATGAAACAATTCTGTCGATTGCTTTACTTGAGACATTCACAGAAAACACAATCTATGGCTATGTCGAGAATAAATTTATAAAGAACTTTTAAGGTGTTACCCAACACCTTGACTAATATTAATTTGGCTCGTTTAATTTTCCTAAAATTTTGACAAATGTTTACTTTGACCCTTTGACAAAAATATATAAATTTCAAATAATTTGAACCAATCACTTTATCAGAAAAATTTCACTGGTTATATAGCAGTTTGACAAACACTAATTTTGATCATTGAGAAGCTTGATATTTCCTTAACAATACAACGTGATTAAAACGTTTAGTTATCTCCCTGTAGTGTTAGGTACCACCTTAAATGCAGATGAATAAAACATTTCGTCTTCATCTATTATACATTAGCCGTTAGTGTTCATCCCACAAAAATGATTTAATTGAATTTATAAATAAAATTTCCCTGTGGAATACCATTTTTATTTCTATATTTGTGCTTATTGGTTTATCAAGTATGTAAATTAAGGTGTTTTTAAAAGTGTGTAAGCTCACGTGTAAACTTTTCGTTGATGTTGAAACAAATATATCAAATGCAAAATTCACAGTTCAGGTCAAAACAATTACGTCAAAGCTGATATTTGATGTATTTTTGCTACAACAAGTAGCATATTCAAGAGCTGGAGCAAACTGGTCGATTTGGAGAAGAGATAACGCTTACTTTTTGCGCTAGCAACGTGTCAATAAAACCATGCTTCATATAAATATATTGTATTACACTAAGCACGCATGTATTATTTGCTACTTGTTTGAAATTTAACAGCCCTCAATGTATCACTTATAAGCATAATGGAAACGTTGATTACGTATTTTAGTAAGACACTATACCTGTAGTGATAAAGGGAATTGCAGTTGTTGTCTTAATGGTTGACGGGTTCCCATGTTCATCTCGAAACTTTGCCAGACAGTGGTTAAATGCACAGTCTTCTCGAGTTTGGTCAAAACATCCTAGAAAATATTTATGCCTTTTAGATAAGTAAAAGATGAATACAATTACGTATAAATATATTTTATACATATATATCTATACTACTAAGATAACGAGGTCCAATTTGTTAGCAGGCATGACGTAAAAACGACGAAACAAAGAATTTAACTTTATATATAACTCATATAGGACAATGGTGTTGTTTGAATATTACACCATTCCAGGCCCTTTTGTTTTCCACATAACTAATTACCGAGGGATTCTTATAGTAAATATACACCAGACACAAAATGACGTAGATGTTAGCAAATATACGTCGACCTACGTCATTTAACAATGAGAAAAACTCATACCACATTGCAAGCTAAAAAAGGATCCGACATAACAGATGTAAAAAAAAATTAAACGACAAAACCAACCGTGGCGGCATGTCATTGATGTATGTACAAAACAATTATAAACGAAAAGCAAATATAATACACAACAACAAACGACAACCAATGAAATCCAGGCTCATGATTTTGGTACAGCCACACATCAAACTTGGCGGGGTTAACCATGTTTGCGGGCGTCCAACCCAACCCTAACCTGGGACAGTGGTGTTAAAGCGCAACATAAATCAACAAAATCGCTGTTCCTTTGCTTTTTGTGCTTTTGCTGTGCATGAACTGATTTTGTGTCATGTATGGATACCCCATATCTTTTTTTCTTCTATAATATAAGAACTAATTGTAAAAACCAGTTGAAAAGGAGTTGACTCATCAGATTGATACAAAGCTAAAAAAAAATAAACTAACAAAAAGACCTATATATATATATATATATATATATGTAATAAAGTAACGATCAGAGAATCACACATGTATGCACTTTATTTCATAACGTGCCAATTTGTCGAATTTTATAGAACCGACTTTAAACCGATTTACTCTTTAAACGTTTTTCGCAAGAATTGTGTACCCTTATACACGACTGAAACCGGCTCAAGTAGTATATAGAAACAATTAGTTCCGGTTTGTGAGTAGGTTGGTTTATCGGGACAATTAATGAAAGATATTGATCACACTTTTCTCAAACACAAACAACCCAACAGAGAGTAAATAAATGACATGTCTGCTGAAGAATAAATCCATAAAAATGTTTACCGAAATTAGTACAGGCAAAAAAAGCAAGTGATTTAGAAATAAAGCTCTTTCCCGGGGTTAAAAATTACCACGCACAAAAAGAAAATTGTAACCCTTAAAATACTATGTCTTTCCAATGTTTCACTTTAGGAATATTCTGAATAGATGTAACTAAAAATCAAAAAACAATTTTCAACACAATAAGCTATAAAACGGCAAGCTTTTTAGAAAAGCTATTACTTGAATTACCAATAATTAACAAGTTTCGAGTCGAATCCGATACCGATACCAATACTATCTGTCACATGAAGTTTCCGGTCTCTTACCTTCTATAAATCCCTCTTCTATCAAGAGAACCAGGAATTCTTCCAGTGGTTGTTTTATGTCTATCTTATACTATAGTACACTATTTAACAAGTCTGCTTTCTTCCAAATTAATACCACTATAATTTTTTGTTAGTTAGTTAGTTAGTTAAGAAAAAAATAGTTTATAGTAAGTTTATTGTAGTAAGAAAACCAGGACGGGTTCAAACATAAAAGATTTTGAAAGCAGAAAAAACTGTGCACCTTACAATCAGCATGACTTTATCAGATGACAGTACGAATACTAAAAATCAAGGCTAAAATGTACTTTTGTTCAGTCAGGTACCCGCGATCTCGCGAGTGTGTTCTAGTATATATCTCCAAATTGACGATACCTCTTGTGCGATACAATTTATCCATTGGATAACCATGCCAAAGGGCTATACAGAGCTTTCCAAATATATGTACATGTATTCTTTTAGCTAAACAATATAGTGAAAATTGTATGTAAAGGTCACCCTTGGGACAGGAAAACTGACCTTACAAGAGTGGTGACCTTTGATTTGGGGTTCAAAGTGCATAGGTATTACTACTGCGGGAAGAGAAGAAGGTGACTTGCCAAGACCGGTTTTCTCACAATACATGTTTAACTCCGCCGCATTTCTGCTCCTGTCGCAAGTCAGGAACTTCTGGCCATTGTTAGTCTTGTATGCTTTTTTTAATTATTGTTCAATAATATGTTTCGGAGTTTAGTGTGACGTCCATTTTCGCTGAACTAGTATATATTTTTGTTTAGGGGCCAGCTGAAGACCGCCTCCGGGTGCGGGATTTTCTCGCTGTTTTTAAGACCCATTGGTGGTCTTGGGCTGTTTTCTGCTCTTTGGTCGGGTTGTTGTCTCTTTGACACATTTCCCGTTTCCATTCTCAATTTTATTTTGCTTAAAAGAGGTGACCTTTATAGCAGGTACAAGAGTTGCATTTTTGCGCTTTCAAAGTTTAAGGACTCAAGGGAACCCTCAATTGGAGTCAATAAACTCATCATAGTCAATGTGTATGTATATTGATAGACATTTCATTTTTTTCTCAATTTTTGGATTCTAAACATTTTGAGTAAATTAGTAAATTAGCATTTTACATAAACTGTAACACAGTAAGTAAAAAAATCCGATCGACTGTTTGCCTATTGACAATAAAGTCGACACATCAAACACTAACTCGTGCTCCCACGACAAAACTTTCTTACCATACCACAGAAGAAAACAATGACCTTCTACTCTGGCACGACTACTGACTTATAGGGTAATTTAGTAATTCTGAGTAGCTTATTACTTTGCTTGGACATTTCAAATACTATTTCTTAAGATTTTCAATGCTAAAGTATTATTTAAGAGATTAAACGTTTAATTTCCGGATGTTTTCGTTCACATCCTTAGCAAATGAGTATATAGTAGTATTTTAAATGATGAAACACTTGAAATTTAACATGATTACTACAATCTTAATCATACATACAAGAGGAAATTATTTGAATAGTTTTAAGGGTTGACTTACTAGTATTTGTAATGAAAAAATGGGCGCAGTGTGGCAGTGCGGTAACATCGTATAGTTGAATCAAGTACACAAAAGATGTAATTTTGTAAACGCATTGATCCATTTAAGAAAGTAAAAACAAAATCAAGACATAAACAGAACAATAAAAAACTTGAAGCAAAATTTAAACATAAAACCCAAACTAATTTCAAATGTGAACTTTAAACCCGCTGCAATTGTTTGCACCTGTCCTAAGTCAGGAATCTGATGTTCAGTAGTTGTCGTTTGTTGATGTGGTTCATAAGTGTTTCTCGTTTCTCGTTTCTTGCATGGATTAGACCGTTGGTTTTCCCGTTTGAATGGTTTTACACTAGTAATTTTTGGGGCCCTTTATAGCTTGCTGTTCGGTGTGAGCCAAGGCTCCGTGTTGAAGACCGTACTTTGACCTATTATGTTTACTTTTATAAATTTTGACTTGGATGGAGAGTTGCCTCATTGGCACTCATACCACATCTTCTTATATCTATTTATATTGAAATTAGGTTCATAATAAATCTTCTTCAATTATCACATCAAATCTTTATTGTTATTAAACTATATGTGGCTAGTATAAAACAAAAATACAACTAAGGCAAACAGTAACTTATAAAATCTTAACAGATGAAGAAAATATATCAATTGTCCTCTGTCCTACATGTACATGATGTTAGTTCTAATGACATTTTTTTCATATTAGAACCAATATTATATTATTTGAGATTCTGTTGACCTACATGTAGAAGTGTTATCCGTCACTTGAAAAATGTAACAAGTTGGTAACGCAACCAAATCATGTAAAAATATAATTTAATAAATCATGTAAAAATATGATTTAATAAATCATGTAAAAATATAATTTAATGAATCATGTAAAAATATAATTTAATAAATCATGTAAAAATATGATTTAACCAGTAGTAGTGTATTAAAACACAGTGCCGATTGAAAAAAATAACACAATAATAAAAGGAGAGAGCAACAGATCCCCCCTCCCCCCTAAAAAAAACCAAAACAAAACAAAAAACACACAAAAACAAAAAACAAAAAACAAAACAACTACAGATCAACATACCGGGTCTATACAATATGTCAATGGCAAAAGGTCGTGTTTTTCTCTGACTGTTAATTACGTCTTTACACAGGAACATGATTTATATTACATAAATTTGTGCAGTGCACATTATAAACTTATACAATAAAATTTCAATGTAGCATGATAAACAAAAGAAATTTTCTAATGCAGATAATTTTAGATCGTTAAATATTTTGTTGTTTAAACGGCATTTACTAATTGTAACATCATATTCAATCAGTATCAATATTAATTCTTCCTTAATTTTGAATGATTAAATTTCAATAACATTTTGCAACAAATTGATAATTCCGGTATTGGTTAATATTGAGATAGAATTCAAAGGAAAACATGTCTATTTTGGTATTTTGTATTTATATATATAAGTGGAAAGCTGTCTCATTGATGTATACACAAAATCTTCTTTCTTAAAATGCGAATGGTTTTTCTTACATTTTCTTGAAAAGTAAAATGTGCATACGTTCAAAATATAATTTGCAAAATATTATCGTATACTTATTTTCAAAAGATTTAGGGTTGAGATATTTTTATTGGATCGATTACTTTCAGTTACCACACAAATAAAATGGGTTTGTGGTACTCGATCTTTGTCTTGGTACACACAAAGCACAAAACACACCCAATTTTATTTTTATGCCGAGCTTGGCAGATATCGAATATCATTAAAACCAAAAGTTCGTAAGATAAATTCTGGGGCAGATTATTAAATGATGAAGAAAGTAAAATATCTTTTCTTCTATATAAACTTTTATTCATCAATTTTACTATTTATGGATATCAAAACAAGTGGCTTGTTAATATCAAAAATATTCTAGACAGTTGTGGAATGTCAAACATATATATATGCATCCATGTACAAAAGATATCTTTTTCCGTATTCTCACACTATTGCTTTTAACATGAAAATTAAGGATGTTCGCTACTCTGTTTCAAAACAACAAGCTTTTTAACAGACTTTTATAAAATGAGAGTATTCATAAAACGAGCTAGAAAAGCAACAACAAAAAAATGCAAGACATTTTAAATTTGGCGGGAAATGATTCTCTCTAGATTGTTCATACATTTAACATTGACAATTTTTTTCTTTCAAAAACTATAAAAAAATAACAAGGATTTTTTACGATTTTCATAAATGGCTTTTTTTTTAAGGCTATTAGTTATAAAGTAATGAAAAGAAAAGTAGGGGTTAGCGGGCAAAATTCTTAATGGCACCACACAGATAAAACTAGAGGATTCCGAATATCTGACAAGCGAACATCCTTAATGTTGTACACAGCTACTTTTTACCACTTCCAAAACCAGCGGTGTTATGCAAATTTACCAGTCTACTCTAGTTGCCTTTTGCTTAATTTTTGTTGTTGGGTTGATGTCCATTAATGTAAACCCCACATCTTCTTTTATTCACATGTCGTATGCTTATTGCTTTTCACTGCCTTTAGTCATCTGTCACAGAAGTAAAAATGAAACTTTAAAAGCCCTTCTATATAAAAAAAGAATTTCACTTACGAAAACCTGGTTCTTATGTATTTATTTAGCACCAACTGGTCATCTCAATTTTTTAATTTGTTTTATGAACGTCTTTGTGCAACTATTATTTATTCGTGTATTATTTGCATAAAATCAGTATACAAATATCTATTGTGTAGTATTATATATTGTAGTTAGAAGGAAAAAAATGAATTTAGAGACCAATAATGTCATCTGCCAATAAATTTACTTGTTACTGTGTACCTAAGGATCTTCATTGAAGATGGATAGCAAGTTTATTTGTTAGGAACCGATCATTCATCTTTCGCAAGGGAGCGGCATGGGCAATAAATTGTTTGATTCCGAATTTCTTGGTATTTTGATAGTTTCAGATGGGAAGTGAAAATAATAGTTTTATTCCATTGAAAGTTAGTCAACTCAAAAGAATTGTTTTCATGAACAGAAATTTCTTCTTCCTGCATATTATTGAAAAAAAGTTTTTTTTTTTTCATTAAAGTTGAAAAATTGATTGTCCCGAGAGAAAACCCTCCCAAAAAATGAATAGTCGAAATGCTTTACTCAACGAAATGTGCACTGCAGCTATGAGAATGTAGATTTATATATATATATATAACTTATCCTATAGGTTTGTATAATCAATTCATGATTAAAATTGCACCACAGGCGCAGATCAGTTAAGGATTTTGGTTTAGGGGTCGAGTCTCTAACATTAAAAAAACAATTAACAAACTACTCATAACTTTGCCTGGATCCACCCATGTGATAGTTTAAATGATACACGTATAAACACAGCATCTTTGTTGATAGAAATGATTTAATTTGCCTAAATGACTGACTAAGAAAGGAACACAAAAGTAATCCAGTTCATGAATGTTTCGATGGTAGAATTAAGTTAAGAATATATAATCAGAATCATGATAAAATGCTTAGTTTTCTGAGATTTCTTATTTACGATTCTCTAAGGTTTCGCTAGCTAATTGGTTGATATATGACATACGGGACACTTTAGCTATCACCATAAAAACATTAAATACTAGCTTAGGTCATTTGAAACAAAATATTAAGGTCTAGTTGATCAGCTGGTGTATGAAGGACCTTTCCTGCAATTTAGTACAAACAAGTCTAAAGTTTTTGTTTTGTTCAGTCTAGTTTATCTCGTCACTTGTAGGAGTAGCGTCAATTTTTGGTTTTTTGTTTGTTTAGCCATGACTAAATTAGAATATAGTCAAATTTTTTAGACTTAGTATACCGAATTTAAACATAAAAAGAACGTTTAATAGCCGATAACTTACGGTAAAGAAGTAAAATGAGCAGACTTGATTGATTGATTGTTGTTTGTTTAACACACAGTAAACACATTTAGTGCATATTTAGGACGAGACAAAATAATTATCAATCCAATAGATAGATTGGTTGTTGTGCTAAGTGATTTGACACCTTGCGATCAGAAGGGAAAGAAAGAACAGATTACATTGGAAATAAGCTTTGGAACTGTAATCTTAATAGCAGAAAAATAACTAACAAAAAAACAAACAAAAACAGAACAAAATATCAGATGCTCTTCAAAAGATAACCATGTTTTGTTTTTTAAGGCGAAAGAAAGAGAATAAAACATTGTATAACCGATATATATTGAACTTCGTTCATTTTACATTAAACTCTGTCAACAAAAATAAAAACAGGAAATATTTACATCTCTGACCTAAAAACGTGTTTATAATTGGTTAAGTATATTCCCTAAATGGAACACGGGAAGAAGTATTTGTAAATTGAAATTAATTGTAGGTCTTACCGCTTCTCCCCATCTAAATCCGTATTTTTCTTTTATAAACAACCATTACAGAACACATAAAACGCTCCACATTCAAAACAGCATTGAAGTTTAATCTTAGTCAACGTATTTCCGTCCGGATATAGACCCTACACTCAATTGCTTTATATGTGCATGTATAAACGAGAGTGTTCGAGTATGAGTATGTGTAGATTATAGTGTATGCACATGGGTATCTGAATCAAATAATGTATTATTATTATCAAACTTTGTTGCTGTGATATTAATATAATCAACTCTTTTGATTTCTGGAACGGGTTTTCTCGTTTTGTTTTACATTTGTCATTTCGGGGCTTATTATAGCTGACTTTGCAGTATGGGTTTTGCTAATTGTTGACGGCCGTACTGTGACCTATAGTTGTTAACAATTTGGTCTCAGGTGGAGAGTTGTCTTATAAAAAATCATACCACATCTTCTTATTTCTATACTTACTTGATCATTAATTGTTAAAATAATCAACAAATCTAGACCTACGTTTCCTTTGAACAGTGGTTCTTATGTGATGCTAATTGTAAATCGTTTTTGTGTTTCGTTTCATCTCTGGATTGTTTTCAAAGAATGGGACCTTTAGTTGGTTTAAAGAGGGTGGTAAAGGGTTATTTTCGTGCAACGTGTTTTGCCATTTTTATTTCACGTGCAGCCGTGAACAAGAATCGTTATTCACCGTGTTTCGTGAAATCGGTAAAAAGATCAACGTGCAAGAAAGTTTTAATTGGTCGTTCATCGTGAAATGGCAATTTTATTTCGTGTTCTTCCGTGCAGATACCCCCCCCCCCCCTTTTCACGCCCCTCTTTAAAATGTTGTTATCTATTCTAACATGACGTTCTTCAAACGCTTTGAGTACACACCCGTGGTAAAATATGAATATATTGTTTTGGCTGTTCCGATCGTACTCCCGCGTCATATGCTTTTTTTATGAATGAGCTGCCGCTCTTAGTTACAGGCTGGTAACCGTAAAATTTACTTCCTAAATTATATGATGTTGACAGCTCAAAACCGCGATTACAAATTGATTGGATTAAAATACTGGTTAAAGCGGATTCGTTTGAGTGCGTTGTTCCTCGTTTGTTATATGTTGGTTTGCACAACCATGAATTCTTTATAAGCTATAATAATTAACAAACTTGGTCAAACAGATTTTTAGTCATCGATTTGTAAACGCTCTTATGATCTGATTGGCAAGTCCCAACAATTGTTACTAAGTTTCAAAAGATGATAATAAACAAAGATATATTGACTTTCATTTCCGCAAGCAGGAAAACTTTTCTTTATTGTTCAGTGTACACACTTTTAAAAGAATATCAACTGTATAAAAGCATCCTATGATACAATGTATTTCATAAGTATGTCGTGAAATTTTTATTTCTTTTCAAGTTCAGGCAAGCAGTATTGATAATGACAGAGAAAATACACTTAATTAATTTAGTGCGCACGAAGCACTTTTCTAGATTTATCCTTATAAGGAACACTTAACCTCAAAAAAGAAAGTCAAGGATGTATAAGTGCTTGGATACGTGAGGAGCTTTGTAACTAAAAGGGACCTTTTGAAATAAAAGCCGAACTCCATCTATTAGGTCATTTATGCAGGAGACATTCGGAACCTTAGTTTCTTGATACTTTCTTAATTTATCGACTGGGAATTTAAGGAAGGTACGTTATAAATCCTGTTAATACCGAAACACCGACTACTAGGCTGAAATGTGTATAAATTGTTTATCTAACTGAAATTGCAGACAACTCCTCATAAAAGAAATAAAATAAATGATGACAGACTATCTATTTCTGATTGTATTAACAACTTTTTACCAGGAACGATTTAGAGCTTCACATATTGAAAAGAGAACAGTTACTGTATAATTCTAAAGACAGTTTGGTGCTCTCTAGATGTCTTTAAGTTATATTGTCGTACGTTGTGTTGCTGTCTCATTGACAAACATACAACAAATTGCGTCTATTCTATGCCAATTAACTCTCGGTAATTATGGTACACCAAACTACCGCTTTTCCATGTAAACTTTTAGGGTCGATATAAGAACAGTACATGCTTTGATTAAGTGTAATATAAATTTTATACTTGAGATGTTAGCCTACGATATCCGCTCTAGTTATAATTGATTTGACTTTCCTTATAAACATGATAAAGAATGTCTACACAAACCGAAACCACCACTAATTGAATGAACAAGTATTTCTTTTACTCAGATGTCCATTTACAACGAGATTTAATAAACATATATATATATATATATATAACTTTGAATAATCTTTTAATAGACCTTGTTAGTGAAAAGTAAAATAACAAGAAAACCGATCTCCAAGGAAAATTCATAACGGAAAGTCCTTTATCAAATGGCAAAATCAAAAGCTCAAACACTTCAAACGAATGGAAAACAACTGTCATATTCCTGACTTGGAACAGGCATTTCCTTATGTAGAAAATGGTGGATTAAACTTATTCGGGGAGTACAAAGAACGCAAAAAAAAAACAAAAAAACAACAAACAAAAAAACAAAAAAACAAACGCTGTTTTTTTTTCAGAATAGGGATCGACGTTTCCCCTCTATTTCGACGTTATTTAATCCATGATGAAATATTGGTATATGATAGAAAATCTTGGGTCGTTTTCATTACTAAAACAGCTATATTTAGAATCAAAATGATAATTTCAGAAAAAGTCTCTTTTGGTTATTATTCTGTTAAATGTTTGATGTGTTACTGTGAATATAGCGGGTTGAATATCCAAATATAACACAAGAAACCGTTTGTTTGATATAATTATTTCTTCATGTATCAACTTCTGTATCTTATTTTATCTGATAAACTGATATAGTGACTGCAGTTTGGGTCAGTTCTTAGCATTCTTAAAATATGACTGGAACTGTCAGAAGAACTGTTCTAAAACCGTTTTTAGAACAAATCTTCTGACACCGTGAGTGATCTTCCGTAAAATAGTGTGTAACATTTCTAACCTAGAAAAGTTTTGACTAATTCAACCCTTGAACTTTCCTGGCAGTTCTGAACAGTTTTGAACAGTTTAATTTTATTTATTTATTTATCTACTTATTATTTTATTTACCTTTTTTGATTGATTGATTGATTCAATTCATTTGTTCGTTTCAAACAAAACAATCTATGAACTGTTGTTATTAGCGTAAACCAATATATACACTATAATACTGAACAAAAGGCTGCAGTACTTTTGCTATTTTTGGGTATAGCACTTGCACCAAATTTCATTTTTCACAGGTATCATTTGCGCCAGAATTCCGCATTCACTTGCGCCTAATTGCCTGTATGAATATCATTTTTGTTGAATGGAAACGGGGAATGTGTCATAAAGACAATAAACCGACCAAAGAACAGACAACAGCCGAAAGCCACCAATGGCTCTTTCACGCCACGTTAAAACCCCGCACCCGGAGGCAGGCTTCAGCTGGTCCGTACATTTTTGAAGTAGGGGTGAGCAGCTGAGACATCGAGTGTCCAATAAAAATACATACCCGATCATATATTTGTTGACAAAAATATACCTATAGCTATGATGCTAGTCTATCAAATAAAGAGATTGATTTGATAATTATCTGAGGCATTTATGACTAGATTTAATCCCATCTTTATGAAAGAAAAGCCGACATCTGATAAGTTTTAGATACTAATGATTCAATCAACAACCTTGTCATATATTTCATCATAAAAACTCAACTTTATCACATATCCTGAAGCTGGAAATATAAACCTATTCCAGCGGTTCATCCCTATCACACTTCAAAGTAAGTGCCCCCCCCCCCCCCCCCCACTCACGGTGTGAACATTCTTTGTTTTGAGAGAAGTATGGTTCTATTTGAGGATAAGCGAAAAAGTATATTTCATTTTTGGCACAAATGATACTAGATATTTGGAAAACTAGTAGTGCAAACGAAGCATTGGCGCAAAATGAGTAGTTACGCACAAGGACACTCTTTTAACATAAACATATTTCTGACTCCTAAACCAGATCCAAGACTGTGTTTATATCTTACTATTTAATCACTTTCTATAGATGCTCTAGACACCCGCAACTAGAACTGTTTTAAATCAATTCAGAGAGATGCTTTAATTTACGTCATATAGACCTTCTACTGTTTCGGTTCTTATACATCCTTTGCTTTCAAATATTCAGCCTTGATCCTGTCTGATGAAGGCAAATCCAGAAAAGCGCTTCGGGAGCATGAAGTTTATAAAGCGTTGCTTTCATTTTATTGAACAATTCTAACATAAGACAGATTCTGACATCTCTACTCTAGAACAGATTCTGACAGTTCTATCCTAGACTCGGTTTGAACAGTCCTATCCTAGAACAGATTTGGACAGTTCTACCCTAGAACTGATCATGACAGTTCTACCCGAGAAAAGATGAGGGTATAACTGTTCTAGGCTAGAACTATTCTACTATTCTAGAACAGTTCTATGACAGACTATTCAGACAACTCTGAAGAGAGGTTAGAGAACTGATCGTAACTGTAAATCATTTATCTTGTTGAAGTGATGTAATCTCTTTAAGGATGTACACATCGAGCTCTGAGGAGCCAAACATTTCTAGAATTCAACTTTTTTTTTCTTAATCTGGCCCCGGCGCCATAAAACTTTTATTTTCTGGGTAAAAAAATTTTCTCAGAATGAATTATATTACTCAGCTAAGAATAAGAACTTTTTTCTCTGCCATAAAAAAATATTCTCAAATTTGAGAATATTCTTAGCTGAGAATTTTTTTCTCAGTGATGTAAGCGGTAAAATAGATGTTTGAAAACTAAAAAGTGTACCTAACTTCGCAAAAACACAGGTTTTATCTCTTTAGCAACACTGTAAAACATAAAAAGAATGTATGATAGATAAAATGACAAGTAGCACTTTGTAAGCATCGGTAAATGGACAGAAAGTCACAGTCCTGACAAAAATTCACAGGCTATAAAGTCACAAATAATTTGTGGACAATTGTTTGAAATTATAAGAGAAAGATCTTGAAATATTTGAGTTATTAACCCGTAGCTTGTTATAAATATATATTATTTTTTTATATTACTCATACAACTTCTGTCT